CACTTCAATTATTTTTTTTGGTTTTTATATAACATATTCTTAACCTATACCAGTTGTCTTCTGATTGGCTGAAATCTCCCAACATCACTTGCGGTTCATTTAAAGGGCAATCACAAATTATGTTCTCACCATCATTAAATTGATGAAAAAGTCAGTTACTCATGTATTAAATGAAATGATGGCATGGTCTTCTTGATTTAGCTTCAAAGGTTTTAACCAATCAACGGAAAGGTTTCATTTACCATTATTATGATAATTATTTCTTTTCAGTAGTTGAAATCATGAGTTAATTGAAGCTAGACCATCATGGGAAACCTGGAAGCACTGGACGGCCGTTTAGTCCTATCGTGGGACTCCTCAGCAGTGCACATCCACGATCCCACCCAGCGAGATATGAATAGTTTAGTTATTTAACAATTATACGATAGAAATATACGTTTAGTATTGGTGCATAAATGGATCCCAAAAGTTACCATTCATTACCCTCATCGGGATATAACACTTCTGCTATCAGGCATTTCACTTTCTATTGATGATATATGCTACTTATATCTGTTGACATCAGTAGCACACACATACACACACCACAGCGATACAATAAACATGTCTAAAACTAAATTCAATAAAGTGAGAATTGATTGATTAGCATAATATTTATTGATTGAATGTATCAACTGCTCAATAACACTAACATGACTGTAATTACTCTAAAACAAAATACCTCAATAATAGAACACATAAACAGCTCAATTCCCTTCCAAATTTGATTATTCTAAAAGCTAAATATTGTAACAAGAATATTTATTAGGAAGGGATCAAAGAAAAGTTAATTTTTTGGTGAAGTTAACTTAGTTACTGAACTGATTAAACTCGACATCTGAAGGAAAACACGGAATACAATGGACAGCTCAGAATCAATTAGACGATTTGGACTTCGCAGATGACCTAGCCCTCCTATCACGTACACACGAACAGATGCAGATGAAGACAGCCAGTGTAGCAGCAGTCTCTGCATCAGTAGGCCTCAGCATACACAAAGGGAAAACTAAGGTCCTCAAATTCAAAGCGGAAAACAGCGATCCAATCACTCTTGATGGCGAAACTTTGGAAGATGTAGAGTCCTTCACATACCTGGGAAGCATCATCGATGAACAAGGAGGTTCAGATGCAGACGTAAAGGCGAGGATTGGCAAAGCAAGGGTCGCATTCCTACAATTGAAGAACATATGGGACTCAAAACAACTTTCAACCAATATCAAAGTGAGAATCTTCAATACGAACGTCAAGGCAGTTCTACTGCATGGAGCTGAAACTTGGAGAACTACAACAACCACAATCAAGAAAGTACAAGTATTTATAAATAACTGTCTACGCAAGATACTCAACATCCATTGGCCGGATACCATCAGCAATAGCCTTCTGTGGGAGAGAACAAACCAACTTCCAGCTGAAGAAGAAATTAGGAAAAGACGATGGAAATGGATAGGACATACATTACGCAAATCGTCAATCTGCATCATGAGGCAAGCCCTAACTTGGAATCCTGAAGGGAAGCGAAAAAGAGGAAGGCCAAAGAACACATTGCGTCGGATAATAGAAGCAGATATGAAAACGATGAATTACAACTGGACGGAGCTAGAAAGCATTGCCCAGGACAGGGTTGGATGGAGAATGCTGGTGAGCGACGTATGCTCCTTCACGAGGAGTAACAGGCGTAAGTAATTAAGTGATTAAACTCAGTGATTATTTTAGAAAATTATCAAGTTGGACAATTTTAACTAGTAAAGAAAAAAAGACAATCCTAAGTGCATAATGATCCAGACTACTTGGTTGGGGTCCACGTGACTATCGTAACCAATGGTCTGAGATCAATCGGGTTTTATATGCAAAGATCGATGATGGCTAACAGTGGAAGCCAGGACGCGAGTTTCATCTCACTCAAGAATCGTAAGTTGGATGTATATGTATCCCTGAGTTGATGGTCAATCCGAAAATCGGAACGTGAATCCTGGATTCCACTGCTAGACACCACTCATCTATGATTATAAATCATGTGACTTAAAGCAATATCGAAGCAATACGCATAGGATGCACATATAGTGACAAGAGACTGATTAATTGCAGTCCAAACAACAAGTGAGTGTAGATGAATCGAATTTCAACAAAACAGATAATCAGAAATGTGATACAATATTCTTTATTGGCTAAGGCAGCTTAGAAGTGAGCTGATAAGAAGCCTACCCAATGATCATGAACAGTAGTAGGTAGCGAAAGCAGAAGAGATAGAAATGGCAGTAGCGGTAGGTAACAGTAGACTTATCAAGGAAACGGATATTAAAAATTAGGCTGTTGCTTAGACCATTCCGGATAAAAAACTGGACCATAATTCACTCTCTTTCAAACAGATCGGACAGCTGGGTAGAACGCTCTAGGGAACAGTTCAACTAACCTTCAACCACATCTCTGTTATTTGCCATTTCCATGCAACCTAAATAGCAAACTCTCAATAAGGTTGAAGCGGCCATAAGCAATCTCAAGTAAGGGGAGCAACAGGATCTGATGGATTAACCGCCGGGATTTTTTGGGTTGGTGGTCCAGTTTTGTCAGTTAAACTAACTGAAGTTTTAGCTAATATCTGGGGACTGAAGGTAACCCCATCTGACTGGTCTCCCAGTTTATAAAGAAGGATAAAAATCCTCTTGCGATAACCACAAAGGAATAAGTCTAACAAATAAAGTATCTAAAATATTACCCTCAAACATTATTGTGAACAGAAAAACAAGAAGCCCTGACAAACTACGAAAGCTGTTTTTCGGGACGTTATTCCATTTTATTCAAGGCTTGTAAAACACTGACATTTATTTTTGTTCCTATTCTATTCTGCAGAACATAAGCTTTCGTTCAATGTATGATTCACTGCCATACCCTTTTTTGTTCCGAAGCTATTGTAATTTAAACATAATATTTTGCACCCTATTTCCTACTCTAATCCCCAGCTTTGGACAAAATTTTATTTTTCCAAATTATTATACGTTTTGGTCGGGTTGTTCACTTATGTATTAGTGTACTTTTTACACTGAACTGAAATCAGGATATCAGGAATAGATTGAGTAGTGTTCCAGTTGTCTTGTCTTCTCTCATTCGCGTGCTTGTCAGCCAATCAGGTGATACAATAGTTTCCTCTCTACTCCGCTTCGAACTCACGCGTACTAGCCTCAAGGTTGAGTCGGTCAGCCTATCGTCCAAGGTCTTAATCTATATTAGAAAGTAACCTCAGCACCAAGAGTGGGTAGACAGACCAAAGTACATAACAAGCATACTTCGAAATCTAACTAGAGCTCGTGAAGAGCTGACCCGAGAAACCAGGCTGGTTTCAGACCTAGACGTGAATGTATGTACAGACCAAATATTCACCCTCCACCAGGTTCTGAAACATAGATATACTTTTCAACGTCCATCTATGGTTGTATTCCTTGAACTTAAGTCGGCATTCGACTCTATTGGTCGGGAGGTTCTATTGCAGTGTCTACCATTGAGATATGTACCAAAGAACTACATCAACCTTGTACAAACTCTCTATTCAAACTTATAGAACTTATAGCAAAACGTCATCAAAAGTGGGTACTTCAAATGATGTTCATCAAGGCTATTCTCTCCACATTTTTACTTGACTTCGTCATGATGGACATGATTCCTCCAGAGACAACGGTTTCATCGTTTAACTTTTCAGGGGTTAATTTTCTACCACGAGATTCACTTGTTCACTTAGTATGGGCAGATGACATAGTTCTACTTGGTGGAGACGCTGACAAAACGCAGTCTCCTGATTCAGACATGTTTAAATAGGATTATCTCCTTCCAAATGCTAAATGTTGCTTCACTACCGGACCCAGTCAACTCTCGAATTTATCATATAGAGTCAAGTTAGTAGCTCAGTGTGCTTACCTGTTCACTCTTACCGGTAGTCTTATCAGTCCCGACGGTCTGACCTCTCGTGAAATCTCGGCATCAATTCACAAAGAGCCACTGACTTTCGCCAACTTGCGTCATTTATAGTGTAAGCAAGATATCTGTCTACTCATAGAGAACCTGCTCGATCCATCCTCATCTATAGCTGTGTGAATGACCACTATGATGACAGATTATTCGTAGATTATCAGTATTAGATTTTAGGTGTCCTTCAAGTATCACTCGTGTATTGTAGGATCACCGGATGAACAAAATTGGGGTTAGACACAAGGCACTATGTATATACGAAACATCGATTGATCAGGTAGTGAATCTACATCACTTGGCACATTTCTGACATATACTCGACCACCGTATACCTCGAGAGGTGGTCATGGATGCATCAACTCTTTGTCTTTCCCCAAATTCTGAGCGTATGAATTTATCACGATTTTCTTGTTTGAATTTCACTCATTTACATTCTCATTACCTCATCAATTGATTTGATATCTTCATCTGGTGCAATTCACTTTACATTTTAGCATTATTCATTCATTAGTCCTGACATACATGAGTAATACTTCGAAGACACTTATGATCACCTGTGGTCACGTTTTAAATCAGTAACGTAATTTATCATGTAACAGCACAATATACTAATATTTAATTATTTTTTATTAAAACATATAAACAATGGTACAACGAGACACCAAATAGATATGCGCCGCATAAATCATTCGATTTGTATGAGGACTGGAATACTGCCCGAGTGTTCAAACCGAAACAGGTGGTTTCCTTAGGGAGCCACACACGAAGCCTCCCACCTAAAGGTGTAATCCACAAGGCAGTGGAGCATCGTGAGGAGATGCAGTCCCATGGTAGCCGGTGACCAACGATTGGTTCATACGCCATTTGTTCCTTCACGGTTACGAAGCCCATGTGCACCATTAGTTTGGAATTAGGGTTTTCCAACTGCCTTAGGTAAACTCTCCGTATCCACCAACCCTGTTAAAGCACCGAACATTCGCTTTTCGTCCTCTCAATTTAGTAAACAAGACCACCGCCACGAAGAGGCAGTGAGTAAAACTTCCCTGGAAGTGGTTGTATGCATGTGGCCATGTGAGAGGATTTCGAGAGCCAGAGCTGACTCCCCCCACTCTCGGCTGTGCCATCTACATTCCATCATTTCATCCTCTCCATCATCAGTAAACATTTAAAACATAGTGATCTCATGGAATGATGATTGCAATTTCACTTGATGAACCAATAACATTAACATATCAATTCAATGTTTAACAATAGACAAATAATAATACCAATTGAATAGTAATTAATTATTAATTTATTATAGTACTACTACTTCTAGATAATCAAATGGAGTGATGTAGACAAATGAAAGAAGAAGGAAAAAATGAAGAAATGAGGAAACAGTAAACAATTTAAGAATAGAAGCATAACTAAGAAAGAAGAATAGAAAAACAAAGAAATACAGAAGAGGAGCATATTCTGATTGGTTATCATATAATCATGCTCGTATATATAGATAGATTTATGGAAATGTGTATAAGAAAGAGATGAAGGGAGAATATTTATTTAGCACAATCTTATTTAATAAATATATGGATGAAAAGTATATATTCTACAATGTCCATTCTATGCTCTCTGTTAGGTGAATAAATTAACCTTCTTTACAAAAAAACAACCGGAAAAAAGAAGAACAAGATTCAAAAGAAAGTCAAACATCAAGCACACAGTATATCCACATCATTCTATTCATGATGCAACCGGATAATAGTAATATTAAGCATCCATTGTTTAAGACAAACATACAAATAGTTACCAAACTGAACATTTTATCACTGTGTATGTGGAATAATTATAAATAGTACTACTACTAGTAGTAGTAGTAGTAGTAGTAGTAGTAATAGTAGTGAGTAGTATTCACAACCATTGAAAGAAACCACAACCATTTGAAATATGTTGAAGAAATACTAATAAAAACACACACATGTGTGTGTGCATATGTATGTGTCTGTGCGCACATTTTACTAGCATTCACGAGTAACCTAGGTAACTAATGAATAAAATGGTCCAAAAAAAAAACAAACAAAAGACAGAATATATAGATTTGATGAAGTTGTCAGGCATACTTAACAAGAAGAATATGAAATGTAACAAAAACACAAAAAGAACATAATCATGATATGATTATTTTAAAGGGGAAAAGTGGTCATGATAAGTGAAATGCATTGCGATCAATTTCACATAGTTCCGATAAAATATCAAATCGAAAATGGATAAAAATGGATGGTTATTTCAGCAATAATAATCATAATCATAATAATGGTAATAATAATAATAATAACAGTAGTAATATATTAAATTGTAAACATTGAAAAACAATGATACTCACAACCGTATTATCCAGTTAAATAATATTCATGAAAGAATCATATTTATATGGTAAAATGTTCTGTAAGAAACTCTTAGATTTTCTTCAGTTCTCATTAATGAAATGAAAGGTAACAAGTTATATTTAACTTGATAGATAATTAGTAAATTAAAAGACCCTTTTTAGACATAAGTCTTCACAAATTATGGATGTTTTGGTAACATGTATGAAATATCTTCCCATGGATGACGATACAAGCCTTGATGTAAACGTTTCTGATCCAGGTAATGACCTATAAAAACAAAGATGAAAGAGTATTAACTATGAAGAAATTGTATAAAAATTGACTTTTATATTCAAAATTATTTCTAACTGTATGTATGTGAACATGAGATTTGATTAGGATTGTTGATAATTTTAGCAATACTGTTTAATCTACTCAAATAGAAATAAGTAGTTAGTTCACCAGATAAAAGATGTAGAAAATTAGTAGGATAACGGTTAGCTTAGTTCTCGAGGCAAGAAACTGAATACTGTAAAAAGATGAAAATGGTTTGCAAACGAATTTACTGTCATGAATAGACGCAAAAATGGAACAGGGATAGTGATAAACTAAGAGAATGGAACATAATATTAAGATATATGTTAAATTTGTTGATCGGACTTATTAAATCCAAAATTTCGACATAAGAAATATACATATTAAGAATTTGGAAAGCATAATATTTCCCGAAACAACACATGCTAAGTAGAACAAATCAGAAGACTGTCTGATAGTCACAAAAACAACAGTGAGGAAACAGCTAGTTTACAAATAACCAGTAAACGACAGGAGGGGTAGTAAATTCTAGTTGCTCATAAGTAGTACACTAATAACACGCAACTTTCACGTAGGGACTGAGTAGATTTCCCGACGACAGTATAAAAACATGCTCAGAATAACTGCAATGGATCCCCAGATAATTTTTACGCAATCAGAAGACTGGTTTTTGTACGCGGATAGTTCGATTCCCGCGTTCAAGATCGTGGATGTGCACTGCCGAGGAGTCCCAAGGTACGACGAAACAGCCGTCCAGTGATTTCAGGTTTTCAACGGTGGTTTAAACTGGTCAGTTCATGATCTCCATTGATAATATTGCGGATTGTAAGCAGATTTTAAACAATCAGTCGATTAGTGTCTTCTTTAGGTTACTCAAACCATAAATCCGAAAAACAACGATATATAAAGTCGTACCTTTGGATATGAACTGTTCATATTGTCGAACCTTCAAAAGGATCCAAATAAATTTTTAAGACTCTTTCACATTGTTCCTAATTAAAGTTAGGTTTAAGGGAAATACTCAGTAGCCATAAGGATGCATGAACTTCACTCAAAATTCTAAGAGGCATTATCGGATTAATTTGTCCATAGAATACAACCAAATTAAGGTTTATTTTAGAATTAAAGAAGATTTAATGTAGTTAACACTATTATTTCTACACTATGGCTGCAAAACATAATTTTCCGGTGTCATCTTGAAATATTTACTGTTCGTTATACGTGATATTCGAATTTGGCGCAAAATGTCATGTTCTCAATTATGATTAACCCATCTCTTAAAGTGTATCGAATTAGTATCAGAAGGGGTTTTTGTGGATATTATAGTAATTTTAATAATTGACATCATGAGTTAATTGAAGCTAGACCACTATGGAAAACCTGCAAGCACTGAACGGGTGTTTCGTTCAATTGTGGGACTCTTCAGCAGTGCGTATCCACGATTGTTTGAAAAATCTATTGATAAACAATTTGAATGGAAATCAAGAAATCACAATTTTGACAAAGAATATGTTGATCGATTGATTAGAGAGCAATTTGCAATGGATAATTTGAATTGACAAAACAATTGTTGTATCAGAAGGAATATTGCAATTAATGCTATTTATCATATTATCACGTTCAGAGACATCAATCTGAAGGTGAGTGTGTGTGTGTGTTTATGCATGTGTTTACGAGCAGTAAGTAAAGAAGGAAGAATAAAGACAATCTCTGAGACCATAAAAGAAAAATTGACCTTAAAATATTATAACTCAGCAGTGTAACTGATAAGTCAATTGATAATCCATTAAGTTCAGCTGTATACATTTATTACCACCTTCATGTTCAAATGAGTCAAATCAGCATGATAACAGTGGGATAACCAATCAGTTTTATTGGGGGTTTCGATTTACTGAAATTTACATCAATGACCTACTGATCAATTCGAATCCTAATCACGTCCCGGTAATCACTTGAAATCTGTTTTGTAATACTTGGCATTTTTTAAACAGTATCTATTATTATTATTATTATTAATATTATTATTATTATTATTGTTAGCAAAGATGGATGGTAAATAGCAGTGCAAACAATGACGCGCGTTTCGTCCTATTTGGCACTCGTCAGCTGGATGTACCTGCATCCCAGAGTTCATGTTCACCCATGGATTCCATCTATCTACCATCTATCTTTGCTTATAATGCTAGTGACTCAATGCAATATCGAAGCAATCCGCACAGAATGCATATATGTCAATATGAGACTCATCATTTGCAGTTCTAAACATCAATGGAAAGATTCAAACAAACAACATAAAGATCTATTATTATTAACATTTAGTATTTAATGTAAATCAACAGTCTAATGTAATAGTCAAATAAGAATTTGCCGACTTCTCATTCAATATGTGATTAGAAGTGTGGAATCTAAAACAAATGTCTCATTCTATTTGGAACATGTTAACTGTAAGTATTTGCTTACCAATATTGATGTTTACACCGAAATTTAAACTCAGCACACATACATAGTTTTAAATATCAAAAACAAATTATCCAATGAACTAGAAATTTCAGATAGTCATTAACTTGTATGAAGGTATTCATATGGGTTTATGGGTTCCAGTTATTGATATTTAATACTGAGTTATGAATCAGTCTTGGTTGTTACATGTTGATCATGAAAAGATGTAGTGAGTAAATCAAAAGTCATCAAATTAGAAGGCCATGCTGTGACAAACAAAATCTAATGACAACCACATGTGACCGGCCAAGAAACGATTTCATTTACCAAGGGGTATATATATAGATATGCATCGGTTTAGTCCAATAAACTTCCTTATTTACTCTTAGTCTTCTTATTCAGTAGCTGGTTGATGGATTATGCATAGGAAGTCTGTGCATCAGTGTCAGTCTCGAACACAGCGATGGGGCACAAACAATAAATCAACCAAATTTTAAGTATTCTTATTATGTCGTTAGAGTAGTGGGATCCAAGATAGGCATTTCGTTCATATTTAGTACAAGTCAGCTAGTTGTACGCCACGAGGGGGGTCGAATAGGACGAAACACGTTACATCAATCCCATTGTCAGTGATATACATACAAGCCAAACAACACACTAAAATCCAATACTTATCCCAAAAAAAAACAACTAAAATTACCAATAAACCCGATTGATCGACCCAAAACAAACAAGCCATTCAATGTTCCAATGGTAATATACTCTTCAGCTTCTTCTCTAATTAAAATCAAATGGATAAATAAAATCAAACAAATTACAATTGTTTGAATAGATATAGATATAAATCCAGTCCATTAAATGAAAAAGAATTTGGATACACTACATTTTTTTCTGTTAGTTTAATCTGTTTACAAATTACGTAACCGATAAGATCTGTAATAATTGAGAAAATTTAGAAATTTCACAGGTTGAAATCATGAGTCAATTGAAGCTAGACCACCATGGAAAACCTGGAAGCACTGGACCGTCGTTTCGACCTAGTATGGGACTCCTCGGCAGTGCACATCCACGGCCCCGCACCTGGCGGGGTTCGAACCCACGACCTACTGGCTTCGCGCGCGAGCACTTAACCACTAGACCACTGAGCCGGCATCCAACGGTGTTAATGTCTAACTTCAACCAATCCACGAAGTTGCGCCACCTGTGAAATTTCTAAAACTCTCCACAAAACCCATTCTGAGAAAATTTATTCTCTTTGTCTTTATATATTGAAACACATAAACACTGGTATAGAAAGATACCGAAATAAATAAACGTCACACCAATCATTGAATTTGTTAATGGGTTCGAGTAATGTTCGGGTGCCCGAACCAAAGTAAGTGGTTTTGTAAGATAGCTACTTCTGAAGCCATTGCTCTAGTGATCTAATTCATAACGTAGTGGGGCAACGTTAGAAGATGTGGACCTATGGTAACCGATAACTGAAAATAGATTTATACACTAATTTTTCCCTCAGGATCTTGGATCCCGTGTGGATCATTGGTTTAGAATCATGGTTTCCCAACTCCCTTGGGTGGACTCTTTATATCCACCGACCCGGTTAAAGCGACAGATATTCGCTTTTAGTTCTCCCAATTTCGTAAACAACACTGCCGCCGCGCGAAGGCAGTGAATAGGACTTCCCTGGGAGTGCCTATATACTCATGGGTACATAAGAGTATTTCGAGAGAGAGAGAGAGAGAGAACTTCCAAACATCAACCAAATCAGGACATTTGCAGGTTAATTTACTACGAATTAATGGTCATTGACATTCATTGAAACGAGATAAGAATTAATAGTACAAACACTTTCTAATAGTTGAATATCTAGTGTAATATCTACCATTTTTGAGCCTTTTTTCGTTCATTTAGTGGGTGAATACTTCATTAAAATTTCATTTTAACATATAAATGTCCCTTTATTCGTAGTTGTTTTTCTCATCTATCAGGTTTTCAGTGCATTACATTGAAGTGTTCACAGAAGAAGTACGTAAATAGATCTTATATGTAACAGAACCGATCACAATGGTGTAGGTGTATACACTCTTTGTCTTCCGTTAAACTACGAGATTAAAATCGCTTCATATCTTTCTTTCTACGAACTGATTCTTTCTTCCTTTACTACGTTCTTATATGCAATCTTTCTTTTATATATTATCACTATTAACTTAACTACTCCTATGAATCCGGTGTTTATCTCGTTGTTCTAATGAGGTGTGGCATCTTGGACCGATGCATATATGCACCTATTCCTACGTTGTAACTGACTGACTGATTGATGAAAGACGTTCCAATTTGCAGAGAAAACAGGAATCTTTTTAGTGATATATTTTTGTACTTGAAATTTCGGAAACTTTTAGAAAACACAAAAATCGATTTTGAAAAAAATCAATAACCGTCTAATCAGGATCATAAAACATGATCCATTATCTGTTTAAGAGAACACCAACTGGTAGAAATTGTTATATCCTAGTGAAGATTAGATTACAAGTATCTTCCAAGAACTATTACGGGACTAATAATTAATATATATTGTTATTGTATAATTATTCAGTAACTAGATTATGTATATCTATATTCCTCTTATCATAAGCTTCATTTTGGCCTATAGATTATTATTATACGATTTACTGTTCTTAAGTTATGTTCAGTTTATTGATTACAGTCTCTCACGTTTACAGTCACTTTTTGGCTTGATCTTGTCATTTCCTCTTTTATGGGTGGTGTGATCTGCTTGACTGGTATATAAACCAAGTATGTTTGAAATAAATGATTCGCATAGTAGAAGCTGTTATTAGCGTTCTGGACTTAACTGGACGGGCTAGGTGAATGAAGGACCACTAAGGACGCTAGGCTGTTCATACCGATTGAAAGTCATTGGTTTGGCATAGTGCTAAGATTGCATAAGTCGTATTTCGATTAGCAGATAAATCATATGATAACTAGCCGACCTTAAAAACACAACAGAAATATTGTCAGTATTTTTCTGTTTTCTGCAAATCTTTCAGAGGAATTAACAACAGCTCTCAACAATAAACCAATTCGTTGTGTTATATGCCTATATAAGTCAATTAAACGCAAAACAAACACAACTTTAGACGTAAGCACAGTTTTTAACAGCAGAATCATATAGATAGTATAAGGTAACTTCAGTAGTGATCACAACCAGATCATTTACATAAAGATATATGTGAACAGTATTCTTCAAATACTTAATCTGATGATACATAATCAAGAAATTAATCATTAATTTAGTTGATATGATTAGATTCATGAATAAAATAATTTTTAAAAAATACTTACCGTGTGAAATGACCGGAGCTTCTTAACAAATCTACCATTGCTACACCAATCATACCATCAACATTTAATATTAAATTTGGACGCTATAAAAAAACAAACAAATATGATAAACAATAAACAAATAAACAAATAAAAACGAATAGAGTTATAGTCCGTCAGCAACAACAACAACGACGACGACGACGACGACGACAAAAGAAAGAAAGATTAAGAGTTCAATAAGCAATTTAATTGATTTGAATTCTTTCTTTTTTTCTTACTTTTCTTTTCTTTTCTTTTTTAAAATACCATAAATCAATTAAATCTAATACATTCACTCTTCACCTACTCAAATAATCTTTATTTTCTTCTTAACTGAAAGATAACCACTACTACTACTACTACTACTAACAATAGATAAATATAATGAATATATTAAATTAACATGAATGTTAATATGAATGACTTAGTATTAAGATTGAATGATTAGATACTGACAACTTTTTTAACTGTTTTCTAACACGTAAATAGAAAAAAAACAACAGAAGATATGAAGATCCACTTAGTGTTGTTTACTTGTATCTTCTCATTATTGTGTTAGGACTACAATTGATCAGTCTCTTATTGGCATATGTGCTTCCTGTATGGAATACCACGATATTGCTTTAAGTTTCAAGCTTTTATAAGTAAAGATGGATAGTGACTAGTAGTGGAATCGAGGTTGACGCATGTTTTGTCCTATTTAGGACTCGCTTGCAATTGAATGTACCTGAATCTCAGAGTCAGTGTGTCACTCTGAGACTTGAACCCAGTACTGTTCGCTTCAAACACCATCGTGTTATTCACTTAGCTACTGAGTCCTCATAGCTACTAACTTGTGAAGTTTTAAATTCACTTGGTGTTGTTTACTTGTATAGAAGAAGTGGTATTTTGTAAGTTATTACTTTATTGACGATGATATATATAATAATATCTTTTTGTTATATCCCGATGAGTACAAAAATTATATTTCTGACGTTTCGTGACTTCATCTAAGCCACTTCTTCAGAGTAAATAAATAACCAAAATTCAATTAACACAAGTTTAAATACTACAAACGAGATCAAGTAGAGTATTTTTAATACAATCAAAATCATACTAGGTCTGAATATGTCAAGATGAATTTGTATAACCTGTCACTGTATATTAATTTGTGTGTTAGAATTTGAGTATGAAAAATGTATACATTTGTAATATGAAGTAGTAGAGTGAGTGTTTATAGGTTGTCTGGAAAACAAATAAGGTCAAAATGTGATTGTTTGGATAAACAATACAGGTTAGATGAATATTCAGGCCTTCTTTCCTAATGAGGGCAAAGCGATTTAGCATTATATGAAACGCTTTGCTTAGTTGCCTCTCTTTGTAGTTAGAAAAGCTTTTCTGAATTATTTAGATATTTTTAAATATCCATTTGGTGACTATTGAAAATAGCATGCACTGATATTACTGATTTAACCGGTAAATTTTCCAATACTACTGGATTATTATGTAGTCTTCTTGTGTAGCTAGCTTATGTTTTCTTTGACGGGAGTCGACATTTCACAGGGACACTCTCCAATATATAGCTCCCAAATGCCCTGATATGGCCGAGAGTGGGGGGAGTCAGCTCTCCCTTTCCAAATGCTCTCACATGGCCAGGTGCATACAACCACTACCAGGGAAGTCCTACTAATTGCCTCCTCGTAGCGGCCGTCTTGTTTACAAAATTGAGAGGACGAAAAGCGAATGTCCAGTGCTTTAACAGGGTTGGTGGATACGGAGAGTCTACCTAGGGCAGTTGGAAAACAGTGATTCCGAACTAATGGCGTAGATGGGCTTCATGATGATGAAGGAACAAATGGCGTATGAACCAATCGTTGGTCACCAAGCTACTCTGTCCTGGCCTCTCCTTTCCAACGGTTGCCACGTACTATTCATTCTTTTAATGTCTGCTTTTGATGCTCGATGCAATATGTTCTTTGGTTCACCTCTTTTCCTTATGCCTTCAAAATTCTAAGTTAGGGCTTCCCTTGTGATACAGTATGATAGTTTCCTCAGTATGTGTCCTATCCACCTCCTAGGTCATCTCTTGATATCCTTCTCTTCAGTTGGAAGCTGATTGTTCACTGCCACAGGAATTTGTTGTTGATCAGGTCTGACCAATAAATCTGGAATACATTCCATGAACAGCTATTTATAAATATTGTATATTTTTAATGATGAATGTAGCAGTACTCAAAGTTTCAGTTCGATACAATAGAATTAACTGTTTTGAAGTTTTTATTAAAAATTCTGACTTTGGCGTTGTTTTGAGTGCAAGATGTTCTTCAACTGTAGGATGCCTCCTTTGCTTCACCAATCCGTACATTCACATCTGCATCAGATTCTCCTTGTTTATCAATGATGCTGTCGAGTTATATAAAACTTTCTACCACTTCCACAGCTCATATAACAATTTGGAAACCAATAAAAAACCAGGATAAAAATTCCTAGTATTACTACTATTTAGTTATTATACGAGAATATACAAACTATTTGGTGACCATGAGGTTGAACACAGGACTTAAGATTTCGCAACAATTGTATGTTACTGGTGAACCACTGTGAATCAAAATCTGTTAACGCGAAATTCATAACTACACTCAATGAGATTATATGAAGCAAAATAAGACTCAGACAAACATTTAAATCTATAGAACGTAATAATAATAATAAATACCTTATTAGTGGTAACTTTCTCAACTTCGAGTGCATAGTCAACAACTGGAGTTGCTACAAAATGTTCATGTACATAATTGGATAGTAACTGAACACGTTTATCTGGATTAGTTATAGATTTAATCCGATGTCCAATACCCATGATAAGACGTGATGCTTGACGTTCTTGATTAACAAACTGAATAGGTGTTAAGCCGGCATCATAAGCTTGTGAAAACTGACGCGCTGCAGCATCCAATGCACCACCAAATCTATCACCCTAACAAGAAAAAAATCATTCCCGTAAGAAATAAGTAGATATCGGTAAATATAGGGTTGTGGAGATGAATGAATTTTATTGAGATCAAGAACCGATTTAAGTCAGATAACCACTGAAAATGTAGAAGCACTGGACAACCATTTTGTCCTAGTACGGGAATCAAATATATGTCACATCATTCAAATGTTTATTCCCTCTGTCAATGATCACCTTCATTAATATATGCCTCTTTCATGATCGCCCTTATTAGTGCGCACCTTTTTTTATTCTCCCTTATTAGTTTGAACATCAAAGCTGGATTCTAAAAGTACTACACTTTATCTTGTTCACTGATTCCCGTCGTCAGTGGTTAGGCTTGGAAAGTACCAAGGCAAGGCATCAAAAACCACTCATAAAGAGGACATGTGTGACTGGTCTCAGATAGTTATTCCTTCGAGTTTATGATCACATTTCAAGGTCACTAAGACTAGTTCACATTCCAGGTCCTTCAAAAAGAGTTATCTGTGCATAGGAGGCGCGACCGGGAATCAGCAATTCCCTCATACATTTAACAGCACTAGTGACTGACTTCCAGTCTGTATCACAGTAAACCATTCAGCTTAGCAAATCCAATATCTATAAAACCATTTACCTAAACTACAAAAGTTTCACTTTCATCATTTCAAAATCAAAACATTTCTGGGCACAGATGGATAGTGGCTAGAAGTAGAAACCAGGACGTGCGTTTCATCCTATTTGGGACTCATTTGTAGATGAGTGAATCTCCATCCCTGAGTTGATGTTCACCCTGTGACTCCAAACCCAGTACCGTTCTCTTCAAACGCCATCGCGTTATCTACTTAGCTACTGAGTTCAGATAGCTAATAGCTTGTACAGTGAAGTGATGTTTTAATTCATCTTTGTGTTGTTGTTTGTTTGAATCTTTAAACTGGTGTTTCCTTATGAAAATATCATATTTAACAACTATTCAATATTCCATCAAAATACTGATTATTGTATTTATGGGCGAGAAAAAAAGTCACTAAAGACATATTTATGATTACAATATCCAAAGTTTTATTTCACAAACGGGAAAACTATCAAACAAGTAACGACAACAGTCGATCAGTAACACATACCTCCATATATAAACAAACTGATAATACATTAGAATAAACAAAATAGAAAATATTCAAACTTACAATTGTTAAAAGTCCAGATACAAGACTAGAGATGAGATCTTTACCAGCACGTGTCGCCACTATTGTATTATGTGCACCGGATACAGCTGGACCATGATCCGCTGTTATAATAAGACATAATTCTAAAAATTTTGTTGCATATTCAGGTAATCTAATGATATAATAGATAGATAATAAATGTAAAGAAAGACAGATAGAGAAATATGGGTATATGATTTTCATTTTAAATGAAGATAGAAAATAAACACTTAAGAGATGATTTAAAAGAAAGTAACATATATATTGCAAGATTATTAGGTATAGATTGAAGTAATGAGCCCCAAAAAGCAAATTTAAGGTTCGAGCTTCGCCTCATTTGCTTTGATTTAGTTGATCAGGTATTCATATTGTTAGATATTATGGAGAAAAACGAATGTAGCTTGAATCAGAATACAGAAATCTATCATTCAGTCATAAACAATGTAGAACCTAGTATATAAGTGTGTATTGATTCAAGTTGTCACAACATATCAGCACGGTTAGGTAAAATTATCCAGACAAATCCCAGAGTAGTATAGTCGAAGTAACAAAAGTATTAGTGGTAGAAGAAAGCGTGATTCGAGAAAAAAGAATGAATTCGAGGAATGAAAATTATGTGTATTTTATGACGATGAATGAGTGCGCTTATGATATCGCTACCGATTCTGGGTCATATCACAACACACCTTCGCTGAAAACTTGTTACGATAATTGTGTGAAACTCTAACTAAGGTCATGAGTTCGACCACTGATGTGAGATAATGAGCGCACATTACTAATAAGGTGGGGGGGGGGTTAACACCACAAGTGCGACAATTGTCTGGTGCTCTCTAGTGATTTAGTTAAAGTTAGTTGATGATGTAAACAGACGTCAAATGAAAAAACTCGCACAAATCTTTCATTCTATTAATCACGAAATCAACATATGAAAAATCAATACTGAGATAATGGAGAAGTTATGAATACTATCACATTGAAACATAAATCTTCTAGCCGCTGATTGACTGTTATCAAAAAAAAATCACAAGACATTGAATAGCTATTCGTAATACCATATACCCATGAACTCATTATGTAGATTCGAATCCATAATTATATATTAGAAAATCATTCAAAAAAAACATCCATCGATATTACCTTCTTTTGAACCATAATAAGCCAAGAACACCACCTATGCCTAAATCTTGTTCAATCACATGACTAATTGGCATTCCAGCATACAATAACTCTTCGCCTCTATCATCACATATTGTTGATGTAAACGAAACTGGTCGACGAATTAGACCTAATTCCTTTAAAGAATAATAATAATAATAATAATAATAATAATAATAATGAAACGAATATGATAACAATTCAATGTTAACAGAGGAATATTCAACTTGAAACAAATCAGTATAAATTTCCCAAAGAAAATTATAAAACTAAGGAATAAAAAATGGACAGAGAGTCGTCAAACATATGCAAATCGAATATTCTCAAAGTTAAGAGAGTCTTAGTCTTGGCTACTATGATTTACTATAATTTTCATAATTTAAGAATAAGATTGATAATAAGCATAATCTTCCAAATAAAACAATGAGAATTTGAAATAAAATTTTAGTTGAACATAGAGTATTAAGCAAAGATGACATATCGATTGATGAGATTGTGATTATTCACTGGTGGAAGTGGTAGTGGCGGATAGATCAGGTATATAGATAAGTGAAGTTTGCTCTACTCGAAATAGGTTGAAAAAAAACTAGAGACGGTCAAATTAAATCAACGAAATCATCGACAATTGGTTGGGATCTTGTTGGTAAGTTGAAATTATTAGGTTATGATGAGATATGATAATTGCGATCAGTGATTAGATAGATAGATCTGTTTAAATGGCATTAAATTAGTCGCAATCGGATAGACGTATCTATTCTTTGTCTAGAATGTAGATTTCTAGTTTTAATATTATTGTACACTATTCGCTATGTGAATTTATCTCTATTTATTCGAATCAAATACTCCATTTCCAATCATTTTTTTCACTATCACTGATAGTGTTACTTTTAATATCAGGGTATCTCGTCTTGGTAATTTCATCTTATTGTACTGATGTGGCTACTTAGGCCGATGTATATTTTTATCAAGTTCAACGTTCGCCATAACAAAATGGATGAATGACCTAGTAGAATAATGAAGTTACGTTATTAAAAATACAGGAGCGCTCGGGACAGGAGGAATATTGGGGAAATTGGAAGTGTTAAAATTATTTTCTTGATTATTATTATTATTATCTGTATTTTTATTGTATAAATAGTAAATAACTCTATTGTTGTATCTCTTTATTCCTCTTATTGTAAGCCTTCAGTGGACTTGTTAACTGTATCAATATTTTTTACTGCTCCCCAATTATTGCTAATTAATTGTGTACTAATCGTTCTGCCCTCTACCACTTGTGGCTAGATTATTTTCAGGATGTGATTTCATATTTGATGTGCTGTGTGGTTAGGCATTTCCAATATGATATTATATGCGTTTTGACTTATATTTAACTTGAGTACGTTACAGAACTAATCCGCTACCTGTCTACATCTTCTAATTGGCTACCGGGTAAGAAAGAGTTCAAGGGGTAATAAGCGTTAAGGTCTCGGCTGTTGCTCATTGATTAGTCATCCTGCAAATGTAGATGAACTAATCTATAATCAAAATTCTGGTTAGGCAATATACCGCGTGATATAGATTAATGTTTCAAGCCATAACTAATTGGCGGTCAGAATAACACGACATAACATAATGTCGATATATTTCTTGTACTACATTTGAATACTAAATGTTCGCAACAAACGTCAACCTTTGCAACAATATTTAAATCTAGCAGTAGCCTTAAGAAACCTGGATATTACGTGATTCAGACCATAGTATCAAAATTTCCTTTTAAATATCCCCAAGTTCCATCGTTTTGGGTGCTAGTTTCTGGAACACTATTGATACTTAAAACAGTTAATCCCTTTGATAAATTTCGATAATGGAATGAGAAGACAAAGTTTATCAGAATTATGTAATACATTTGCGCAATACATTTCGAATAATTTTCATATAAAAATGTCTTAACAAGTATATGTGTGATCAGATTGTTCTAATGTATTGCGCAACTACTGATACTGTTAAAAAATGGACTTCTTTCAACTAAAAAAAATACCGTACATATCCATGTTCGCTATTCAGTGGTACACAATTTGTGCGAACTCTATGGCTAATACCTGAGGACTAAATGCAAAACGAAGTACGTCGTGAGACGTGGGTGGGAGTAGATTGCTGTTACAAATTTGATATAGTGATGAGAAGGTTAATCTCTGTCAATCAGAAGTGACCTAAAAGGACAAGTGCATCTCGTTGGCTGAGAAATAGGTATATATAAATAATAGGTAGGTTGAAAAGTACTCAGATGAGGTTGATTTTCCCAATGATTTTACTGTTAGCCAATCTAGAAACAACCTCTTCTTTTTACGAATTAATTGGATAAAAACTTGAGAACACGATTTATGTAAAGAGAATAAAAGAAGTTAGATCAACAGAAGACAAGAAATAAAACCTCAAAGAAAGAGACATACAACATATATGCATACGCAATCATAGGATCAAATGATAGTCTAATAATATGTGGAGAGAAAAAGTAAGTTAAGGAAAACACGAATCACAATCATTGGATGATCATCACCGTCATCATTATCATCTGTTTCTCAATCGACCCAAATAAGAAATGAAAAATAGAGTGATTCGAATACAGGATACTACTGTTCCAATTGCTTTCACAAGCAAACATTAAATGTAAACAAACTTCTCTACCTTATTGATTTATTAGTATTACAAAAGATATATAGGAATGAAGGAGAAATACACATACATATTTCTATGATCAAGGACAAATATAAACACGCACATGCTCACACATAGGCATAGCAACAAAAAAAGAAATAGTACCTTAAATAAGAAAACATAATGTTTACGATAAATAAATTAATATATTTGTAATATCCCAATGAGTAGAAAAATAAGATTTTCTGACGTTTCGCGACTCAGTGTGAGCTATTTCTTCAGAGAGCTTTACGAGTTATAGGATAAATAATATGAGGCGACAGTTCATGCTTGATGCGGCATGCGGGGGACGTACATTGTTAAAGAATGTTGCAACAAACTGGGACGAAGCAACCTCATAGTATATTATGGTTTTTCTTAAAGTTCTTCAGTTGAATGATAGTTCATCATAAGAACAGTTATTTACATAACTTATAGTGGATGAACAATAGTTCTGAATGTAACGAAAACTGGGTGTGTAGATTTCATCGACTGTTAAATTTTAAGTACATATATAATAGGCGGTTAAATTATAAAGATTGTTGTGTTTAACCACATACTAACTATTTAATTGAAAAAGCAAAGAGTATCAAACAATTGTTTGAGATTATTCGTCATCAGTACTCATATATTCACGAATTTACACGGATTGAAATCCAAAAACCTTCAAATTTACAATCACATGCCAAAGAATAGCTGTTTTAAAGAAATATATCAAATCATTTTTGAATTGGTTGCTTGTATCTTCCTATTAATGTTTAGGATTGCAAATGATTAGTGTCTTATTGGCGTACGTGCATCCTGTGAGGATTGCCTCGATGGTGTCTTCAGTCACAATAATTATGAGCGGAGATTATACTGGCTAGCAGTGGAATGAAGGACTTGCGTTTTGTCCGATTTGGGACTCATCAGCTGGATGTCGCTGTATCCCCTTTGAACAAGCTAGTGGCTATCTACACTCAGTAGCTAAGTGGATAACGCGATGGTGTTTGAAGAGAACGGTAATGGACTTGGATCCCAAAGTGGACATCAACTCAGGGATGCAGATACATTCAATTTTAGACGAGTCCCAAATAGGACGGAAGGCACGTCTTGGTTTCCACTGTTAACCGCAATGCATCTCTGCTCATAAATATATCGATTGGTATTACATTCCAGTGTTACTGACGAACTAAATGTCAACCCATTAACAATGTTTACTACATTGAAAAAGGAAAAATGATTCTGACAAGTAGGAAATTTCTCAAAATGTCAAAACTCAATTATGTAAATGAACTTACCTTGGCCCATTCATAATCCATTGGAACAGTACGAGGTGGATGATCAGTTTTCGGGATTAACTGACCACTTCTTACAAGTTCATCAAAAACACGTCTACAATTAATCAATTTAACATGAAACTCATCTTTACTAGTATACGAACTTAGAAGCGTGAAACAAAAGTCAAATATATGCACATATATATACTTAGTGAAATAATAATATTCTAAATTACAAATTAATTAGTCGATTATACAAATTGAAGAAAAAACAATACAATCTGCGTATTGCTGAGGAGTCCCACAGTAGGACGAAACGGCCGTCCAGTGCTTCCAGGTTTCCCATGGTGGTCTAGCGTCAGTGGACTCATGAAGTCAACTATTAAATTACCGTTATATCCAAAAAAACCCTTCTGATGACGTATATATGTTCATTCAAAGAGTAATTCACATCAATATTATTATATCAGTATAGAGGTGTTGAGACTGTTAAGTTTTTTTTATTGAAATCATGAACCGATTGATGTTAGACTACCATTGAAAACGTGGAAGCACTGGACGGTCGTTTCGTCCTATTATGGAACTGCTCAGCAGTACGCATCCACGATCTCAACACGGGATTCGACCCCAGGGCCTTCAGTCGGCATCCAGTGCTTCTAAGTTTTCAATGGTGGTCTAACATCAATCTGTTCATGATCTTAATAAAAAAATCATTATAATTGAGAAAGAATGTACTTAGTGTACAATACAACACAGATATGGCGATGATAGCATGAGGTAAAAGACTAAAAATTTTCAGATAATACTGCGTTATTATGAGATCACATTTACAAAATTAGTAAAATGATTGTGTTATCGTCAGAGTAGATATTTAAATCAAAATATTTGATACATGTCTTTGTAAATTTGATAATGAAACTTATAGTAACCGTTACCTTGGTTTGATAAATAGTTGATGTGTGTGTGTCATTTTTATAATCTTGATAATTTCTTGGAATACGTGGTCTTGTTTCAGACAAATAATCAACAAATACAGGTTAACAGTCCTCTCTCCCTATACGTGTATATAGCGACTCACGCGGAAGTCCTACTCACTGTATTCTTGTGGCAAGGATGTTGTTTACGAAATTGAGAGTATGGAAAGCGAATTTCCGACGCCTAGAGCAAGTTGGTAGGTACAAGTTAAGAAAGTTAGAAAACCCTGATTCAAAACTAATGGTCCATATGGTATATGAAACCATTCTTGGTCACCAGCTACCATAGAACCAAATTTTCTAAAGTCACTGAACTATCTTGCGGATTATATCATTTCAATAGATGTTATTATTATTAAACAACCATTCTGAATTTTTATTATGATGATCATTGTTTAGTTTTGGTATTAACCTCAGTTATTTTGCTGTGATTTGACATGAAAACCTAATTTCAATTAGACAGCAATAAAAAAAATTGAAAGAAAGGTCGAGAACTATTGGACAGGTATTTTGTTAGAGTATATGAGTGTTTCTAATAGTATGTAATCAGTATTTGACAAGAGATTGTTAAGTTGAAAGCTTTTAAGTACTATGATGCCTATGTATTATATATAAACTAACAAGAGTTGAAATATTAAATAATCCACGTTTAGAACAACATAAATTTAAGGGAACAATATTGTTTTGATTAGATCCTCATCAGGGGTTTTCTATGGGTATTATAGCAATTTTAATAGTCGAGATCACGAGTCAATTAAAGTTAGTCCATCACGGAAAACCCGGAAGCACTGGATGGCCATCTCGTCCTATTGTGAAGCTCCTCAGCAGTGCGGTTCCACGATCCCGTACCACGAGATTCAAACCCAGGACATATCAGTCTCGCGCGAGTGAATGCATCTAAATTAGATTGCATCATAAGCTCAGTTAAGCGGAAAGAGAGATAGCAAATAGACAACCATGTTGTCCAGCAACAAGACATATATGATTGAAATAGATTGTAGGATTTGTTTGAAAGCAGTCAGAATATGTGTTTCTCATAGATTTGATGAGTAGACGAAAACAAAATTTTTTCATTGTTAAAATGAATAAATGAGGTTCTGATCGTTATTTAATGCAACGGAATGATAGTTGTTCACGAAATCAAATTATTGAATTAACCCTGCACCTCCCTGTATAAATCGACAACGAGATAATACCAGTAAGCTGAAGGATACCATATTTACGTACATATTTCTAATAGATCACTACTGATTATTCACTTTCTAATTCTTCCCAATTATAATATTACAAGATCACTGGGGAAACAAAGGAAATTTGTTCTCGTTTTGAAATTATCCTGTGATAATCTTTAATTTTAACGTTTAGTATTAGTGTTGTTATGGACGAAAATTTAAGTTCAATGCAAAATTACGGGGTACTTTCGTAAAATATGAAAACCACATATTAAATACATCATTTGCACATCTTGTATCATTTTTTCTTTACATACTTCATGATTCTTTCAATTCTGCTGTTATTCCAATTGATCTTTGTTTCCCTTTCTTTTCTTTTCAATTGAATCTTCTCAGTTTTCTATTGGCATGCACTCTACTTCCGATTGGTGCTACATACTACTTATATCTGTCAACATAAGTACCATACAACAGTGTTACAACGTTTGGTGTTTTGTTAAGTTTATTAAGCTAGAAATGGTTTAATTATGAAGTATTCATTGTTGATTGATGATATTTATCAGGATGATATAATGAAAGCGCCACAATTCAACCATTTCTAGCTCTTGGAGAACTTAAATACATTCAACATCATCCACCTATGAATTCTAAATCTTTTTCAACATTTCAAAAATGTTACAACTTGTTATTTTGTTTGTTTGTTTCTTGTTTGTGCCAGAAATAACGAAATTATTAAATGACCATAAATGGACAAAAGGTTGGTTAAAGATGAGAAGAGAAACAAACGAACAAACAAGAAATTCAATCTAACCTAATTAAGAGATCTAATTCATCAAATGATTCTGGAACATGTATACCAACACTGGCCAATGCATAATTTTTCGCTGTAGCTGTTTCTTGTAAAGAATTAGCACATGCACCAGCATGACCGAATTGAATTGAACCACTAGCAATATTACTGCTGTCTGTATTATCATTCGAATTAGCTGCAGCGCTTAATAATTCACCGCATGATCCTATACACCAGGCTACAATTGGTTTTTTTATTTTGCCCAATTTAACTGCTTCAATTATTGCATACTCTTCTATACCACCAACCTATGGTAGAGAAAAAAGAAGTACAAAATACTAATGATGATAATAATAATAGTAATAATAATCATGATGATAATAATGTCCAATTTATGAGTCAATATTATCTCTGCTGCTGTTAGAGAGTGGTTATCACCTCCAAGCTCTCCATATTGTGGAAGGATATTTCTCCTTGAGGGACTTGAAAAAGCTCGACTAGTGGTGGTGATCTTAGGGACCTGTGAGAAAGATTACAGAGAATATAGGATAAGAGATCGAGGTTGGTCACCCGCTAACTTTTCATGACAAGTTTTGGATGTGTTAGCTCCGCACTTCAAAACTCTTTACTATAGGGAATGGAAATCCACAGAGTAAGACGAGCTGTGACACTTTTGGATCAACCGTTTCTAACCTCGTCCTTCATGCATATGCTGATTGTCCGTGGGAAACAAATTACTGTTGTCATACTTCATTACAGTTAGCAGTACGACTTCGACCTCGGACCTTAAATTGCGACTTTTTATCTTTCCCCAACCGACCTGGTAGGCATAGTAGGACCTAAAATAACGTGTTTCAGCCACCATAGCTCCGTTGAGTCATCACGATAGAGAAGCCGGAATTTTCACCTTAATTCGTAAAGGTTTGAGATATCTTGTTAGTGATATATTAGACTTAATTTGCCTCAGTCTTTTTTAGAATGTGTGCATCCTGTACGGATCACCTTTATATAGTGATTTTGACCCAAGCTTTATAAAATGTATGAATTCTAGCTGGTAGTAGGCTGATCAAAATGCAGCCGCCGATGTCAACAAAGGGACACCTCAAGCATATACAACTTGAATTAAAAATTTATACCCGTTGCACAAGATGTAATAGCTCAGTGAATAACACGTTCGGTACTAGGTTCAAGTACCAGAGTGAGGATCAACAGTGGGATGTGGATACATTCAGATGATTAGTCACAAACACACATATTGGATTTCAATGCTAGCCATAAAACACATTTTCTATCATAATAACGATAGTGATAATAATAATAATAATAACAATGTGTTGATTTCTCAATGGTACTTGTTACGAATCGACGCCAGATGAGCCAAGTCATCCAACATAGCTCAGACCAATAGTCAATGACTCTATAACCTGATAGCATATGAAAGAAAGACTAATAAGCATCTACTCAATTTTATTATCCTTATTGGCACACCTATACAACAACTAAAATGAAACTGAATAAGCCTCACTTAAAATAGCAGAACAAGCATACCTCGTTTCAAGTGAATTTCTTTTGTTTTTAAAAGTTTGTATTTTCCTATTGTTAATGCTAAGGACTGAAACTGATAAGTCTCTATTGACAAACGTGCATTTTGAGCGAATTCCATTAATATTACCTTTTTTACACATTTTTATCAGAGTTGGATATGGGCTAGCAATGGAATCCGGAACGTTTCGTTTGATCGATGGTTTGTCAACTGAATGAAAAAGCATCCCAGTGTTGATGTTCATACAGAGATGTTCAACACTGGGATTTCGGTATATCCAGGTGGCAACACTAGAGTTCAAGTACACCCAGCTGACGAATCCTCAGTAGGACGAAACTTTCGGAGTTCCACTGTCAGTTACTATCCAACTTAAACGAACTTTTTATTTTTTCTAGAAAAAAATTTATGAAATGATCACTTTCATACTTTCTACTTACTTCACCCAAGACAACAATCATACCGACTTCTGGATTATTTTCATAACGTAGAATATGATCAATAAATGTTGAACCAGGAAAACGATCACCACCAATCGCGACACCTTCATAAACACCATCAGAATTCATTGAAATAATATTATTCAATTCATTGGACATTCCACCAGAACGTGATACATAAGCAACACTGAAAGGAAGCAAAGAAATAAATAAATGACTAAGAATGAGACTTATTGTATCGTCTATTTCAATATTTGAAAACACTCAACGTAAATATACACACACCGTCAAGTCTAATCAATTTACCAACCACCAACCTTTACCTATCATAATTATCTTTAAGAATCATCCATATACAGTCAAATGAGTATCGGCTTGAAAAGAATATAAAACCGGATACTGTGCAGTGCAACAGTTTTAAAAATTCTAATCAGAAATCTGTATATAAACGTAATACGTGTAATCTCACGTTCTAATGTAGATTAAACTCTCTCCACTTCACAAACAGTAGATCTTACTTCCGAATTGTTATTCTTTTGTCTGTATATCATTCTTTCTGTTTTCATCAAATAGACAACTATGTTTAATGCAGACAATTAAACGATTAAACTAAAATTCAACATGATACATTGAGTCAATCAGATATATGACTCAAAGGATAAGAGCACAATATTGACCAAGATCTGGATTGCTTTTCTAACAAACGAGACAAACGTAATCATTGGAAATTGTGGATTGATACATAAATATATGGACGAGTGGACAGGTATCTTTCGATTCAGTTTCCATCAATAAAGCTTCCTTCTTACTCAAGTAGCTACTTTGACCTGCATATTAAAAATTGTGTCAGCATCAGAACCGGACATCGTAGAACGTAACACTAAATTATGTGTAAGATGTAAAAAGTGAATAGGTTGAAGTTTTCAATCAACCACATGACATATCACAATTTAGATAGAATAAGGCAAGATAATCTTTTTACCGGAAGTATTCAACTGTCGAAACAAATATGAATGTCAACACTCACCTTCCAGGTCGATAAAGTTTTGATGCCAGTATATTGTCTGTCATTCCGCCTGTATTACCGATTTTGAAGCAGCCAGATTTTAAGCCACCTACCTATAGACAATATGGAAAGAAATAAATACCAATAAGAAGGTTGAATAGGTGGTATATGTAGACAAAATCAACCAACCAATCAGTCAGGTAACAAACGAATATAGTGAAAAACTGTTTTGGTAGCTAACAGCACGGATTGATCGCAGTTAGATAAATAATGAAAATCAGGAAGTCCTAAACAACCGTTTCGTTGTCATATGAAACTCGTCAGAAGTCCACATACACCAAGAACCTAACCACACAGTAACTTGACTGATAGAAATCAGCGAACATTAGGGACTATGTAAGCACTAAATAATTTACTAGTTAGTGATCAACTAATGTAAATATCCGAGCCTGTGGGACGACAGAATCCACCTGAGTGGCCTAGTAGTACCGTCTTAAACTGTGAACTTGTTTCAAAACCTACAGAAAATATCGGCTCCCACAATATCTCAAATGTCCCCTCCTAACAAGCGCCAACTAACATGATACCAAGACCGAGAATTTTCTACCGACTATTTTCAACCATTTAACATCAAAACATCGATCACATGATATCGAATTATTTATACTAGTCTCTACATTGTAACTTTGGAAACATTGGCTAATATAACTCAAGCATTAGTCATTAAGATACAGATGTATTCACTCTTTATATTCGCCCAAGTTCTGAGCTTCAACGTTATTACATAATTTTTCTAGACTTCTTCGTCAGTAATGATAAAAATTATGATATATTTGTCATGCTCTAGTGAATCAGTGTAAGCCAATTCTTTACATATCAAATTAACACAAATTTAAATAGTAAAAAACAACAATATTCAATACAACCAGAATTCAGGTTTGATCAAGTCATAATCATGTCAACCCAGTCAATGTGATTTTTGTGAGACATATTTGTGTATGTTGATGGGTGTTATCAATTTTTCACACTATCACTGATACTAGGTTTATTCCAACCATTTTGCTTATCCGCCTTGTTAATTTCATCACATCATCCTAACGGAATACGTTATAACATGGGCTGATGGACATCAGTGCCATGATAATCATGACTGACTGACAGAAAGATCGATCGACAGAATTCAATCAGCACTAATGACTAAGTAAACATAACACTGCGTACTTACTTAACAATAATGATAAGTAACTCTGGATAAAAGTTCCTAATATTAGCAAAAATTATATCTGCAATACATTCTGTATGAATGCAACTCTTACAGAATATACATAGATTTACAACGCTTTTGTTTAACATAGCAACAACTTAATTCAGGTAAGTAGACAAACAAAGGTCTGCGTACATAGCTTCATGTCGTAATTTTTATGTACGAGTTAATGACATTATATATCTATGAAATGGGAATTAAACGAAAACGAGTTCGAACATGAAATCAATCGGTTTGAAAAGTAAACAATTTATCTACCACTTTTCACAACTCAGTAAACCAAGGAAATATTCGTGTGTTCAAACTTAAGTGATACAGAAATACATGTGAAAATTTGGCGATACTTGATATATGGTTGAACCTCACTGGATACGGCTTCTCACTAGAACTCTGAAAATGTCCTCTTGACTCTAGTTACTAGTGTGCACATAGTAATTGAGATCACGTTCCGACGTAAGTTGAACTCTAGTTAAATGGTCTAGAAGTTAATAATTCATGCACGAGACAGAAGGTCATGTGTTCAATCCCCAACGGTAGGGTTATGAATGTGAACTGTTGAGGAGTCCCGTACTAGGACGAACCAGCTGCCCAATGCTTTCAGATTTTCAATGATTGTCTAACATAAGTCTGTTTGTAAACTCAATAACATTCAAAAACCTCCAAAACACTTACACTGATAATTTTGTTTCATTTTACAAACAATCCTGATAGGAACCTATTGAAAAGGATATTATTCGTTCAATTTGTAAGTATGTATAAATAAAGCGTTCACATGGGTAGTGAGTAGTGAGTAGAATATATTAGTTATTAGACAGCTAAATGACAGATGATATGTTTAAACTCTTTAAAATCACTCAGTTCCCGAATATTGAAACTTCGATATGGTAAAAGAAAAATATGAAATCCCTAGACGTTTTGCGAAGACCCATACCACTTTACAATACAAACTGATGATATCATCCAGATAACTACTAACAAAAAACAGTTAGTAATTGAATATAGATGTTATCCTAGTTTAGGATTACTCATGAGTGTGTGTGGCGAAGGTGAAACATTAGATCAAACCCATAGGTTTTGTGATAAACTGGACAATATTCGGTCGCTGAACCCATCTATATTTACTCAATCCAATCACATTTTCATATAAGACCACTAATTTAACGTTGTAGTGCGAAGTCTACTTTGTCAGATCAACAGGCTGAAGCCTTATGCTGCTTCATCAGTTTATATACACGACCCCAAAACCATTGAATGGTCAATGATAACTTTAAAGTAAAGGAATATTGGAAAAAAGATTTTTAAAAATCAGTGGTTGATTGATGAGGTTATGAATTTTCATCGATTACATTAATTAAGACATATGTTACGCATCCCGAACGACCGCCTACTTCAACAAATGATGACTGGTGTACGAGTATATTAGAAGAAAGTTAGGGGCACTCAAACCAAGAGATGGCATTAGTCCATGAAAATGCTGACTGATGGACTGAGACAGGTGGGCAGTGTGTGCGATGACCGTGATCAGTGGTTGGAGATTTCGGGTGATATGACTAGGATTCGTTCACACTGGTGTAGATGCACTCACATTTAATCTTCTTCTAAATACTGAATTCCAGTATCCCTTCATGAATATATTTCCACTCGGTCTTTTCGAACTATACTCCAAATATTAGTTCATTCTTAGTAGCATTGCTTCGATATTTACAGACTTAATGAGAGGAACTGGAACAGATTGATCAATTGTATTCCTAAATATCAAACAAGCATCATAAATGAATTAAAATTCACATCATTGCACAAACCAGTGAATATCTGAACTCGGTAGCTAACTGGATAACGTAATGGTATTCGAAGCTAACGATACTGGGTTTAAGTCCCAGAGTGAACATCAACTTGAAGATGCGGATACATGAAGCTGAAGACGAGTCCCAAATAGGATGAAACGTGTATCCTGAGCCCCACTGCTACCTACCATTTATCTCTGCTTTTAAAGACCAAATAAAATATATAGAACAATACTCTCTTTAGGGTTTCTTTAGATTTATACCTCTTTATCTCTTATAGATTATTGATTCAAATTCATTTTAACTAGGGTATTATTTCTGAATTGATTAAATGGCATTCTGTATTGATAATAATTTAAGGCCAAGCAAATGCGAAGTGTATTATGCATTATGATTTTATTTGTTTAGAGAAAAGTACACAAATATTAATCAAATACTTTTTTTGATAAGAATGTATATAGAATGTGATATATATATATAACTGAATGTTCGTGATTAGTCATAGAATAAGTGCTTATTAAGTGAATGGTGGCAATCTCAATGGAGCTGTGGATATAGGTTTCTTGCTAGTTAATAAGAAATGGGTTGTCTGAAATATTGGGAGGGACTGATGATTACTATGAAGCTCAAACAGCTAGACAGTATGCATGTAAGAAACGTTATTACTGAGCTATTTTAGCATAGTTGATGAGTTTTAGCTAGTGTGAAAACTACGTTAAGCAGAGCTTCCAATTGCCTAATCCATAAATCAAATGCAAGACGATCTTGAGTACTGTTACACGAACGAGAGTGGATGTCAAGTTTCAGTTACCTACAGAGGCCGGTACTATGTCAAGCCCAGACCAATCTATTCATTCTCCTCAAACGACATTTTTACTCTATCACTTTTATTCGATTACTAACCCTGACTGTGTTTTATATGATCGTATGTATGTTAATTACTTACCCTATTCATCATGTGTCTGGAACTTATTTTTGTCTGAATATAAATATCGATTCACGCTTGGTTAAATGGGGTCGACTCACTCGCCTTTTCCACTGAATGTCATTTCGTTTTGCTTCCTTCACTCCGTCTCTCTGATTGGCTCTCCAGATCAACGAGTGTACGAAATATACGTATTCAAACTTCATCCACGTATTTGACTTATTCCGTTATTCACTAATGCGAGTTAAGTCGACTACATAAGAGGGTTGGCGGTATGTATAAATAGATAGCAATCATTATACGATCTAACTGGAGTCAGATATAGGTTCACTTAATACCCACACTGTGGAAATCCATTTCTTGAGCCGCCTGCAAAGGGAACTGCGTTAGGGGTGGTCCTGTCGACCTGATAGTGTGACCACAGTGTCCAAAGGAAAACCGCCTGAGGTCGGCCACATACCGTCTTTTTATGAATAGTTATTGATGCTATATCTACTTATTTTTTCAAGTTTTGCCGCCGGTGACAGAAATAAATCGGGCAAAATAATTTGTGGTACTTTTAGGGTCGACCTATTCTAACACCCCTCCTTCCATTGTTGGAATGTAGTATCGCTAAAAATGTTAGTTGCCTGGGGAAATCGACCCCCTTTCTACCAATCAAAACGCAACATATTCAACAGTAGGATTATGCCCATGAACCCTAAGTTTGTTGCTTTCAATCGCATTATTCTCCAAACAACCAAGATGGCATAACATGAACTAAAAGTATAAGTATTACAGACAACGTAGCTCAGTCGAGTCATCATAATATTCAAGTCAGATCTCAGCTAAAGCGAGCTCAATATTAAATAAAAAGTGCATGAATTTCATTTAATCAATAAAATTCGATTAGCACAAAGGAATATACAATCACCGGATTGGTTACTATTCCATGATTCATTAGCGTCGTGCAACAGAAGGTTTGTGTAAGTTAGAACATTACACATAATTATCATTCGATCACAAATGTCAGAGAGTTGAATTCGGTTAGAAAACAAAAACGAGTAAAAACTTCAGATCCACTGATAAACATCTAAAGGAAAAATACTCATCTAACTTTATTACTCAAGACACATCTATCGAAATGTAAAAAAAAAAAGAATACCGTGTTTATGTTGTAAACATGGGACATTTGTATATTCTATATTCAAGAGAAACTCTGAATATTTAACATTTCACAACAAAAGATTGAGTGTCATCTACTCTTAGAACTATTTACCACTTATTCCCTATATAAGCGCACAAACACATACATACGAACAATATAGTTGATTCTTGAAAAGATGGGTTCTCAGTCAATTTCATAGAATATTGAAACTAATGTTTTTTTAAAAATGTCCAATCACTTTGTACTAATGAAGATGGCAAGTTGATATTATGAAATGAGTTTTATTAGGGAATAAGATATTACAGATGTTAAGGCAAACAAATATTGTATTGTGGTAAATAAAACTATTCGATCAAATGAATTATGAAAGTAGATTACTCAAGATAAATAAATGTTTAAATAATGGCTATATAATCTGCAAGAGTTTGAGGTTGATCAGTTCCTAGTGACAAATATACGTCCTGAGAGAAGTCTTCATATTATCATTAAATCATATTTATTTAAGTACAGTAGGATAGTGAATAGTAGTATAATCCAGAACACGTGTTTTATCCTATTTAGGACTCGTTAGTTGGATGTATCTGAACCTTAACATTGATATTCACACTGAGACTCAAATATTTCAAATGCTAGACTCCATGAAAGTGTCGAGGTGGTTCGCTCAGAATTTAGGTATGGTGAAAGAGACTCAGCACTTGGAGTTTTTAACATCGCCAACGGTAAAGATGTAACCCATCACAAATCAAATATTATTCATCCCCGTTAAACTAACCAACAGCTATTTGGATTCAGTAATTGTTAAAAGAAGAACGCAATGGGTTTGAATCTTAGCGTTGACATTAACACGAGTGCAATTCCATTGAGCTGACGAACCTTACACAAAATGAAACGCAAGTCCTAAATTTCACTTTTGATCACTACCGAATTTGCTTTTTTGTTTTTAGAAATACAGATGATTAACAGTTCTAATGAAATGATAAGAAGCTGTATTCTAGGTTATCCTTACAATTATCTAACGTGAGAAAAAAGAATATTTATAACAGAATACATTCATTCAACTTTAATTTAACTTTTTTTCTGGTTAGCGTATTTTTAGCGAGTTAGTTTTCTACGGAATAGGGCCGCTAACCCCATGCCCAACCCTCCGCCTTTATCCGGGCATGGGACTGGCAATAGCCCCAGAGGGGAGAGAACAAATCAAATCCCAGTGGAGGAAGAAATCAGGAAGAAGTGCTGGAAGTGGATAGGACACATATTGAGGAAAACACTCAACTGAGTCACAAGGCAAGTCCTCATATGGAATCCTCAAGGCCAAAGGAAAAGAGGAAGGCCAAAGAACACATTACACCGAGGAATGGAGATAGACATGAGAAAAATGAACGAAAATTGGACAGAACTAGAAAGAAAGGCCCAGGAAAGAGTAGGTTGGAGAATGCTGGTCGGCGGTCTATGTTCCAGTGGGAGTAACAGGCGTAAGTAAGTAATCACTCCAAGTTTTATGTGTTAAATTTTTACGAAACAAAATCGTCGACTAACAAACGTTTCAAAAGTAATCGAAGGATAATATTGGATATTAGTTTTGTGTAGTTGATTAATCTATAATAAATTGTCCGATTACAGTAGGCTTAACTGATCTTTGGCCACGGAGTTGTTTATGATTTTTCTAACTAGCTAACTAACTAGGAGTATTTCATTATGTTTATTGATTACTGATTGATTTCCATTCCAAGCTATATAGATTTTGTCCGGTCTTCTCTGTGCTACCTCTGTCCAATATTCCAACGTTTTTCTCACTGAACATGTGTTAACAGCAACAACTAATCAAATTCAAGGTGTGGAAATTTGATAGATCACTTCTATCTGAAGTTTATGTTGATAATACTATTTAGAAAGAACATGTGAAAGATTTACGGTTAGATTATTCATTGAAATCATGAACCTATCTAATTTGGACAACCAGTAAAAACCTGTAAATACTAGACGGCTGTTTTGTATTAATGGACTCCTTAGTAGTGCTCACACCCACTAGCCCGCATACAGGAATCGAACCCAGGATCTAAGGTCTCTCATGGAAACGTTTAATCTTCAGATCAATTAGCAGGCATCCAACGAAGTTAATATCTAACGTCAATCAATCCACGATATTGAGCGAACATCTTTCATCGTAAATGTCGAACTGGCACGGCTATTCAACTAAGAGAATTCAATTTCCATAAAACAATAGTTCATTTACTGTAAGTTTATCCAAATGAAACAGATCAACAGTAAATAAACCTACATACAATAGTAACACCGTCATTAAAAAAACTTAAACTTCCAAGCAAGAAATGAACTACATAGCACGATGTGATGACGTGGCGGCCTGCTTGAATATCTGGGCTACCTGTTCCTCCGATCTAGATATTTCATCAAGTTATCTGTTTTGTTGTTTGTTTTATCACATCATTATGTCTATTGTGCTCACAACCTATTCAGGCGCGTCTATGAAAAGTTTACAACCTTTCGCTATACGGGATACAAAAAGGTACAATCAGCGACATCATGGTGGCTGGCAATATGCATTGAAACAAATGAACATTAATCAAATGTGGATTACCGAACTCCTAACACCTAACCGGTCATCATTCAAAATTTATCGTCACAATCGATCAAGGTATAAGAAAAGGAAACTTGTTGAAATACTTTATGCTGAGAATTCTATGTTGTACCAAAAATATAATGTTGAATAAAGCTTTTAATAATAAAAATAAAAAGGTTCAAATTCAGACACTCATCTAAACTGTTTTACAGTTTCAAATAGATTACAAAAAGAATGTTAAATCAATGACTCTAAAGACTGAAATATGCTCAATTTCTAACGATTTGAGCGCCCACAACACTGCCTACATCAGTTTATATACAACTAGGGAATAATATTAACTATCTGACACTAAATGTAACTCAAAAACTGAGTACATACATTGATACTTGACAGATAAAATGTATACTATGAATGGTAACTAATTAATGTATAAAATATATACAAAATAAAGACTGGCCATATTATAGAGAATACATAATATTCAACGATAAAAAAGAACTCACAGTTGCTGGACCAATCAATAGAATATTTCTTTCTTTGGATCGTTGTATTAAACGACGTGTCATATTTTCTGGTATACCTTCAGCTATAATAGCAATACACTTGATCTGTGCCTCGTTTACTGATAAACCATTATTATTAATATTGTTATGAATAAATGCATCATTGTGTTCATTCGATATTCCATTCTCTTTATAATTAGATGAAACTATACAATTCACTTCCATTGCTTCCATGCATATATCATAAGCAACTCGTAATGAAGCGAAATTTACTAATACACGTGCATCTGGATGCTTGTCCATTGCATTCAACATATACTTATAAACTGGTAGAAATAATTCTTTTGCACCCCAATAAAATTTTAATTGATGATCGTCGCTATTGTGTTACGAATAAAATGAGAAAAATGAAACATATGACTTAATCATAATAAGCAGAGATAGATGATGACTAACAGTACAATCAAAGATGTAGGTTTCGTCCCACTTAGGACTTGTCTTCAACTGGATCTACCTACAGTTCAGAGTTGATGTTCGCTTCAGGACTCGAACCATCTATCTCTGTTTAGAATGCCTATGACTTAATGGGGATATCGAGGCAATCCGTACGGGATGCACATATGCCAAAAAAGATTAATCAATTTCAGTCTTAAACATTTTATTTTATTTGAACACATAAATATTGTTACAAAGGAACAATACATATGCGCCACACAAGACGCTTGATTTGTGTATGGGCTATGATACTGCCCGGGTGCCCAAACCGAAGTGGGTGGTTTTATTAGGAGGCCACACCCGGGAGCCTTCAACCTAAACGTCTGGTCCACAAGGCAGTGGAGCAACGTCAGATGTAGTCCCATGGTAGTCGGTGACCAACAATTAGTTCATACGCCGTCTGTTCCTCCAGGATACTGGAGCCCATATTCAGGGTTTTCCAACTCTCCGTGTTATACCAACCCGGTTAGAGCACCGGACATTCGCTTTTCGTCCTCTCAATTTCGTACACAAACCCGTGGTGCGAAAAGGTAGTGAGTAAGACTTTCTCGACAGTGGCTGTATGCGCGTAGCCATGTGAGAGCGTTTCGAGGGGGGGTGGACTCTCCCCACGCTCGGCCGTACCAGGGCATTTGGGGCAGTCTTAAACATGAATGGGAAAATTTGAACAACCAAAACAAATATGATTTAATTGACCATTACACGTTATTTTTTAATATGTATTTCTCTTTTAAATAGTGTAAACTTGCGTTAATTTTCTCCGGTACAATTTTCCTAATTCGTAGTGTTGTACGACTGTAAAAAGGAGTCATGAAACCTATTAATCGAACCATCTTCCTTCGTTCGGTAGGTACCGATCATTATATAGAAATAGATAAAACCACGGTTCCTCGTCAATTTCTGGCTGATCTACATAAAGGACTAATATGAGGGCTCCTTTACATAGTTAAAGTTATCAGGACAAGTTATAGAAAACAGAAGAGGTGTATTCGACCATGGTTTACAAATGGGTGAAACTACATATCACAAATCCCTACCATTTGATCCCATGTTTATTTCTGCCCTGCTCCATTCTTAATTTGCATATTCATCTTTCTCAATTCATATGAATTCATTATCACATAATTACCGTAACGATATCGCTCTTATTACATATTTTATTCATATAAATGGTATCATTGCAGTAATTATTACGACCTTTCCCATTGGGTATATCAATCACATAATTTACTTTGTCCTATTAATTCTCATGCAGACGTTCACCATTTTAAACTTATAACATTGTCTAGTTCAATTCCATTTTTGTATACTGAGTAGTGGACAGTGTAAGTCAATAATGATGGCAAAGTATAATATAGTGATAAGCTTAAAATAACACCGATGAATTTTCAGTTAGTTTGTAACTATACAGAAAACAGCTTATATAGATGGATAATTTGTGGAAAAGAAAACTATAATATTGAGAAGTATGAATAAATCTTACATGATTAGTAAGCTTATTAATGCCTTCTGTAGGTTACTCTGCTTGTAAATCAAATACACAATGACATACAAATTCGTCCTTATAAATATAAGTTGTCTATTTTCTCGAACCCTTAAAAGGATCGAAACAGATTTTTATGAGTCTCCGCATTATTCCTAGTTAAGATTAAGACTCGAGGTTTAGGGTAAGGTAAATGTTTTCACCACGAAATGGAATTAGTTATAATGTGAAAGTGCTCTGTAGTCATATGTAAACTTGGATCTCGCCATACTCGATAAGTTCTTCTATAAAATGTAGCGTTATCAGGTATAGGTTTGTTTAGATGGAATTAAGGGTTTAAGGTTAAGATTTAGAGAATGTCTGTTTACCTATTGTATAAAATCAAAAGAGATAGTATTAAGCATTTGATTCGTTTAATATTATCATTTTACTCTATGAATGAGCCTTACTTGAAAGGATAAATCAGAGCTGCTACACTTGGACTTTCACGACCGGAAGCATAATCGAAATCTAACATAGACTGAACAGCTTTCACTTGTAAACCCCATATTAAACACTTTGTTTTCACTGTAAAAAGTGGTTCTTCATAAATAGTTTCATGATTATTACCATTAGTAGTTGTAGTAGTAGCAGTATTGATAGTAGAAGAGAATTCAGAAACCTTGCGAGTTTGATTGGTTACCACTGGTGTTGATTTTTCTGAATTCTTGAAATACGATTTACAAAAAAGGGAGGAATTCAAATCAACTGATTACAACAATAAAATGAAAGTGCTCAAGCGGTGCATAACTAGATTAGTTAAATCAGTATGATAATTGAACAAACCAGTGACTTAGTAGTACTTTTAACACCTCCAGTATCGCATACAAACGCCTAACCTCTATACCATTGAGCCGGCATCCAACAGAGTTAATATCTAGCTTCAATCAATCCACCAAACAATCTTCCATTGTCTTCAGTGGGTAAGTGCCTCATATCCGACATGGATTTGCTCCATTGGTCACAGCTTCTCACAAGAATTCAAGGAATTTCTTCTCAAAGCAAGCTGGTCACTAGTGAGCATATGGTAATTGTTAGTACAGGGTTGTGGAGATTGTTGAGTTCCATCGAAAACAGCGGTCTCGACGATTAGTGTTCGTGTACGAGACCGGAGGTCCTCGATTCGATTCCGGTATCCGAGTTCGTGGATACACACTCCCACACTAGGAAAAAACAGTTGTTCAAGTTTTCAATGGTGTTCTGACTAATATCGGTTGGTGATTTCAATAAAAGTCAACGATCTTCACAACCTATACTGATAGTTAATTTATTCAACTGAGTTGCACAGAGATAGGTTAGAATGAATAATAATAAAATACAGTTCATTACAAACCCTCTATGTATGTGGCAGTCAGTCCTATACTCTGAACAAAGACACAACAGCAGTATATATATATATATATATATATATATATATATATATATATATATATATATATATATATATATGGCTCAGAGTAGGTTATATAAACCTGTAATTGTTAAGTGAGATGCACAAGGATGTAATCTATTCCTAGAACTCTCTAAATTCTCAGAAATCTAGTTGTTACTGAAGAACTATTACTGTTTAAAGACGCATATCACAAAAGTCTTGGCAGCAAATTATCTGACAGTTGTAAAATTGACAAATAGAAGATAACACAGGTTGTTACTTTGTATATGTTGATTGTCAGTGGTTTGGTAACAATATGAATCTTAAATAAAAACTTATTTTAAACAGTGACAAATACTTATATCAGTTCAGATCGCCGCGCCATTTCAGCACAGAGAGATGAAATCATTAAGACAAATCCTAGAGAAGTAGTAGTATCAGTGGTAGTGTGAGACCTTATGCATACACAATGTGATTCGATAAGAATCAAGAAATTTGAGCAATAAAAGGTGGGAGATAATCATAAAATTCATGATTCAAAGAAAGACGAAAAGTGAATGCACCTCTGTATCGTTAAGATTGGTTTTGAGTCATGTTACACAAAGTTTCCAACAGTTGGTTGGGATAGTTGTATGGACCATAACCAAATAGTTTGGACCAGCCTACATGGCTCGATTTAACAGTCAATGACATTTTGGATTAATATCACATTTTGCTTTGACTGTCTCTTAAGCTTTCTTCAGACATACTCTTCTACATCGGTAAATACTATGCATCAGGATAGGAGGTGATTAGTTATATATAATACAAATTCGAACTACTTCAGTTGATGAAGATTCACTACCTGATCAATCAATGTTCCATCTTTACCTAGTATCATGTATCTAACCATAATATTAATGATTCCATGATTTCGAAATACGTGAATAATTCTTCAAGGTCATCTATGATAAAACACTGGTAACTTTACAAATATCCTCTACTACTAAAGGTGGTCACATTTCACAGATAGAAAATGTAATAGAACGAGCTAGTAACAAACAATTTATCCTGGTGATTACATAAACAAGGTCATTTATTTCATCTAGATTTACATAGTTAATTGATAATTAATCTCTAACTGCGTCATTGCCTAAAATACAATCGGATTATTGAACTTTCTTAATAGATAATATGACCGGTTTTAAATTCAATGTTAATAATATAACATTGAAATCATTTTATTTTCATTAATGAATGAAATGAGACTAATTTTTCACATGAATCAATATTACCGACATTCGGTCTATTGTGAAATTAAAATGAATTCAGTTTATATATTATTGTTCATGTATTTCATATCATTTCGATAATGAAGAAAAAATGTTCTTCTATGTTTATTCTTTATCATCATAATGACGATGGTATTTTGATTTTGTTTGTTTCTTTTTTTTTTTATTTTGTCAGTTTCTATAGTGAAGTGACCTACCAGGTTGGATTGATGTAAATATTTGTGCCAGATTCCTAGGTTGACTGTGAGTCAAGTCAGTTAGCAACAATGTAGAACTTCGTATGTATGTACATCAGTTCGAACTGTCATAATTACATTAGCACAGAGATGCAGTTGTCCCGTAGTGATAGAGGTAGTAAGAGTATAAGCAGTAATTGGAAATATTAGGGTTTGAAGATATTATTCAAGGAGTATAATCCAGTGAAATAAATTTGGAAAGGGAGAAAAAGGACATGAGGAATTCAGAAGATTAGAAGTCGGGAGAGCACAAAGAGTGGATGCACCTGAGCCATTGCAAACGATTTTGAGCCATTTCATTCAAGGTCTCTAACCATTGGTTGCTATCGTTTCGCTGATCCGAACCAGGTGGTCTATACCTACCAACATGGCTCATTCCACTTGTCAGTGACTTCATAGATTTGTGCCATGTTTTGGTCTGGCCGCCCCTAGCTTTCTTCCAATCTACTCTTACACCATAAAACATCGCAAGTCGAGGCAGTCAGTGATTGGGTACACATAACACATATCCCAGCCATCTCCATTGATGAAGTTTCCCTACTTCATCAATCGATTTGCCATCCTTACCTAGTACCCATTTGCTAACAACTGCATTACTTACTCCGTGGTCCCAGGATATACGAGCAATGCTTCGAAGACACCTATGATCGAATACTAGTAACCTACGAATATCCTCTTCTCTTACCGACCATGTTTCACAGAGTGAAGTATGTGAGATATTTATTTGTTAACTAAACGATAAATATACTGAGTAGTAGTTTGCTCTGTTCTACTTTATGGACGTGAAATGTGGTCCTTAAAAAATAGAAGATATTCATAGGTTACTAGTATTCGACTATACGTGTGTTCGAACCATTGCTCGTATATTTTAGGACCATCAAGTTAGCAATTCATAGGTTAGCTACACAGGTAAATGTGGTAAATCCTTTAACAAGATAATGAATTCTTATCGACTGAGTTGGTTAAGACATGTATTACGTATTCGCATTCACTAATCACCACAACGAATGATGATGGCTGGTGTAGAAGTAGATTGGAAGAAAGCTAGGAACAGTCAAACCAAGACATGGTGTCAGTCCATGAAAACACTGACTATTGAACTGAGACGTGCAGGTAGGTACAAACTACCTACCTGATTGCAGTCCGCGATATTCGCATAACCAGTGGTGAGTCTTTGAATGATATGGCTCAAAATCGTTCACTCCTTCTACCCTTAGATCTTAAGTTTCTAAATTTCGCATAGATGCTTTTCTATTATTTTACTAATATTTTCTTCTCAAATTGTATCCTGAACTCATAATCATTTTTATCATCAGTAATACTGTTACTCTATCTCTACTACTCTGAAATCCGATCTAACAAATTCATCTTACTGTGCTAATGAGATATGGCAACTTGAACCGATGTACATACATCCCAGGTTCCACATTGCGTTTGACTGATTTAAAATTATGTATATGAAGCATTTTGGAATAATCGTAACAACGAGTAAGCTAGAGAGATGGAAATACTGCTAATCAGGTTGTTCGTGAAATCCACATAGTCGAGATACATATTTCTAATGTGATATTCAAACATGATCCGCGAGAGATTTCGGGTTAGTTAGGCTAGTAACTGAACTATAACCTGATCGATAAAATCCAATCAACATTAAGTACTATCCAGTATTTAGTGGATCAACCAATTGTAAATATATCAGTTGTACAGAAAGCCATTTGTAAATTAAACAGCCAGACAGTAATCTCTTTAATCACGGGCATTAAGTGCACAGATATGAATCACACAAGGAGTATCAGCTTCCCCAAGCATTTAGCTACTTCATGCTGATGATAAATGCTAATGGGCATCAACCAATGTCCAAAACGTGTTGTCGTTTGCCTCTAATCAACTAACAGTCAAACAAAATATACTTGAAGTTAATTTCACTCACACTATTGGTTATATTACCGTCTTCAGATAGATAGAATACGATCAGCACACCGATGATTATATACAAACATGAGATCGGTAACTACTACTATTACTTACTTTACGTTCACAGCCAGAACCACTGTAACTGTACAATGATAGAGCATCTGCAGATGACTGAATATGATCTACTTTAGGTGGAGGTATTTGACGTAAACCAAATGCCATTGATACGATAGCAGTCATATGAGTTTCAGGTCCAAATACATAAATTGGAATATCGATAGTACGACCTTGATGTATTGACAGTAAACGAATTAAAGTAAGAAAGTTTTTTTCAAATGTAGAATGTTAATTTAAAAATATAAAACAAATAATAACAATAATATTAAATATGGTAAGTTGGTGAGCTCTACTAAATTAAATATTGTACATGTCAAATTGTGAAATAAGCCGCTTACTGATTATTTGAATAAGTAGTTATTACCGGCAAGCTGACAAAAACATTCATTGAAAAATATGTTGGCTGTTTTGATTACTAGAAATTACGACAATTAGTCAACAATCTTAGCCTCCAAATGCCATGGCACGACTGAGGGTAGGGAGAGCCCGTTCTCCCTCTTCAAATGCTCTCGTATAGCCACGCATATATAGTCACTACCATGGAAGTCCTACTCACTACATTCTCGCGACTAGAGTAGTGAACGAAAAATGGATGTTCATCACTTAAACCGGATTGGTGGATACAAAGGGACCACCTAAGGAAGTTGGGAAACCCTGATTCACAACTAATGGTGTATATGGGCTCCAGAATTGCGTATGAACTCATTTTTGATCACAGGCTACCATAGGACTGCATCTCCTAACGTCGCTCCACTGCGTTGTGAATAAGACCTCTAGGTCAATGTTTCGGGGAGTGATCACCTAGGGAAATTACCCGCTTCAGTTTGGGTACACGGATAGTATTCAATTATTTATTAATTTATTTGGACACATGAATATTGGTACAGGAGAGCGCCAATATATTTGCGCCACACAAAACAATGAAAATTCGAGAGGAATACAAAGAAAGAAAAAAAAAGCTAAGGAGCGCAACAAAAAAAGAGAACAATAACGAAGAGATTGGTGTAAGGTAATGTGCTAGTAATCAGGGAACGCAAAGGTACAATCAGAAGAAATCTTTCAGGTAAGGGAGACAGAACCACTTTTTATTAAGAAAGTAAAAGAAGGTTACAGCAGGATCGCCACTGGCTTCTATTCTGAGCCATATCTGATAACGTCTCTAGCCACTGTGTAGCACCATCTCTCAGACCCCAACCAGGGAGTCGTGAAGGACCAACACAAGCCAGTCCTTTGCAGCTTTCTTTCATGCCACAACACCATGTCATGCACTGACCACCTCTCCGCTTCTTCCAACCAGTCCCAGAGTCGGCAAATAATGCACGACGTGGAATTCTCTGGGACGACATTCGGAGAACATGTCCAAGCCACCGAAGTCGGTGTTTCAAGATGGTGACACCAATTGAATTATCATCTCTGTGCCCGAACACACGATGCCGAACCTCTGCATTACTGACATGGTGTTGCCACTGAATGTCAGCAATCCTTCGGAGACAACGATGATCGAACACAGAGAGTAGTCTAACGTCCTCAACTCGGAGAGGCCAGGTTTCACAAGGACAGAGCAAAACTGCTCTCACCGACGCGTTGTAGATCCGACCTTTTACGGCCAGACTAACATCACGAAGGCGCCATAGATGGCCCAGATTGGCATAAACCGCTCTGGCTTTCACTATCCGTGCATTGATCTCATCACTCACACCCCCACCAGCACTTATACAGCTACCCAGGTACACGAACTTCTCGACTACGTCTATCTGCTCACCATCCAGGGTGAGTACAGGATTGGAATCCTGCCAGTCTTGTAGGAGTACTTTGCACTTCCAAGGAGCAAAGTACATACCATACCTACGGACACTGATTGCCAACTGATTAAGTGCGGATTGCATGCCTTGGGCATTATCGCACAGTAAGACAATATCGTCCGCATACTCAAGGTCGAGAAGTCTTTCTCCAGGCAACAGATCCACACCACCATTACTTACATTCATCAGAGCTGTTTCCACAATGTCATCGATGGCAAAGTTGAAGAGGAATGGTGAGATTGGGCAACCCTGCCTAACCCCACTGCTCGAATGGAACAATGGAGAAAGGTGGTTGTATGCCCTCACTCTGCCTGAGGTGTTTTTATATAGGGCTTTTAGGATGTTAATAAACTTCTCAGGCACACCCTTCTTCAATAGACAATCCTAGAGAACAGTTCTGTCCGACGAATCGAAGGCAGCCCTGATGTCAAGAAACACTACGATTGTTGGCCTTTGATAAGTATGGCGGTGTTCTAACATTTGGCGGATGGTGAAGATATGATCAATACATCCTCGACCAGAACGAAACCCAGCCTGCTCCTCGCGAGTCAATCTTTCTCGGGTTTTGAACAACCTACGAAGTATGACGGAAGCCAATAGCTTGGACGCAATCGGAAGTAGACTTATCCCCCGATAGTTGTTACAGGAACGACGTGAACCCTTTTTAAAGATAGGGACAACTATCGACTCATTCCATGACGTTGGCACACTCTCTAGTTCCCAAACTTTTGTAAACAACGTCGTCAATTCCTTAGTCAAAAAGTCACCACCATCTTTAAAAAGAGCCGGAGGTAAGTCATCTGGGCCAGGTGATTTGTAACGCTTCAAGAGTTGGAGTTCCTTGAGAACTTCCTCCTCGTTTGGTGGATCAGTCGTCACCGGCCATGGAGGGCAGGACAGTCTGACTGATGTTGCCGGAGCAGCAGGCCAGTTGAACTGCCCTTCGAAAAATTCTGCCCACCGTCCAAGACGTCGATGGATGTTAGTGATTGGCATCCCATCATCCTCGCAGATTGTTTCACTCACACCAGACTTCTTGCTGCCAGTGGCTCGGATGAGCTGGAAGAGCTTCCGGTAGTTACCAGATGCAGCTGCTGCTTCCAGCTCATTAGCACGCTTCGACCACCAGGCTTCTCGGTCCTTACGCAAGCTTTGCCCGATTTCCTTACGTAACATCCTTCGTTTATGGTCAAACTCACGGTCACCCGGAGTAGACCGACGGGCTTCAATGAGTTGTAAGGAACCAGAAGAAACCCAGTGCTTAAAAGCGGGACGTTTCGCAAACCCACAACTGACTGTTCCCGCCATTTTCATGGCGTCATGCAATTGCAACCAATGCTCATCTATACTTTTCGGTGGAGTGGTAGCTAGCCTAGAGGCTAGCTCGGTTCGATACTTATTTGCAACAGAAGTTGCAACCAGCTTGCTAACATCAATCTTTTGGTGGTGGTCACTTCGTTGGCCACTGAAAAGTAAGGCAAGATTGGCGCAGACCAAGGCATGGTCAGAGTCCAGATAGGTACTCCAAAAGGAGCGGCAGTCTTGTACACAACCACGCCAGCTGTAGCTGATCGCGATGTGATCAATCTGAGCCCAGGCTTGGGATGCAGAGGGAGGACGCCAGGTGGCACATCGGTGATGACTGTGCCGAAAGTTAGTGCTAGCCAGAAACAGGTTGTGGTCTGTGCAAAGTTGCAGTAGACGGTCCCCGTTATCTGACCTGCGACCAACGAGTCCCCATCGGCCACCTAAACGACTCTCTTCTGTGCCTAGACGCCCGACCTGAGCATTCAAGTCTCCGGCCAGTACTACAATATCTGTCGAACGCACTTTCCGGAGAAGAACAGATAATTGGTGGTAAAACTCATCCTTGATTGCATCCGGGCTGCAATCTGTCGGGGCATAGGCGGAGATGACGAAAAGACATCGTTTCTCACGCCGATTTCTTCTCACTTTGATGGAACTTTCTAATCTAACAGCACATAACCGACTGTTAATGGGGATCCAATCGACTAGTGCTGCCTCAGCTCTAGCGCTTAGTGCGACACCAACGCCTGCAAGACCAGACGAAGATGCCACAGGGTCCCCGGATAAGCGCACGTAAAACAAGCTTTTTGAAGTGACAGATGTAGAGCGAATTTGTAGTACTTCGCTAGAGTCTTGAATACGGGTCTCGGATAGACAACAAACATCAATATTAAGACTTTCCAAAGACATAGCCAGCCCTATCTGTTGACCAACCTGCATAAGTGTGCGAACGTTGAAGGCAGCCAGTTTGAATGGCGCACGTGGTTTCAGAAAAACTGCTTCAGTACTCATATTCGATGGTAACATACAACTTTCAACCGGACAGTGACTCGAGGACGTTTAGATACAGTCGGATTTCCACCAAAGCCGAGCCGCTGTATAAGTATAAAAGAGGGTGAATAATGTGGAAAATAATAATAATAATAATAATAATAATAATAATAATAATAATAATAATTACAATAATAGTAGTAATAATAATAATAGTATTAATAATGACAATAATTGTAATGATAATAATCTGAATCAATTGTTTGTTTTTCAAAGCGAGAAAGGTAATTTCCATAGGCATAAAGAGTTCATCAATTTGTGTGTGGGCTGTGATACTGCCCGGGTGCCCAAACCGAAGCAGGTGGTTTTCTTAGGGGGCCACTCCCCGAGCCTTTGACCTAAAGGTCTAACCCACAAGGCAGTGGAGCATCGTAAGGAGATGCAATCCCATGGTAGCCGGTGACCAAAGATTGGTTCATACGCCATTTGTTCCCGCAGGATACTGGAGCCCATGTGCACCATTGTTTTGTGAACCGGTTTAAGCGCCGGACATTCGCTTTTCGTCCTCTCATTTTTGTAAACAACACCCCCGCCACGAGAAGGCAATGAGTAGGACTTCCCTGGCAGAGGCTGTATGCGCGCGGCCGTGTGAGAGCATTTCGAGAGGGAGAGCGGACTCACCCCACTCTCGGCCGTACCAGGGCATTCGGGGGCTAGTCCATACACAAATTCAGCGACTTGCATGGCGTATATATATTTAGGTCACCCTTTGTACCGATGTTTATATTCTTAAATAAGTGAAATAAATAAATAAATAAACGACGGTCTTTTTGGTTCACTTTACATAAATCCAAAGAGCAATTGTTAGCTTCCCCAATAATCAAAAATATATAAGCTCATTCGGCGACTAGATCATGTTGAGAGCATCGGTTCTTATCTGGTTTCACACAATAGTTCATCGTGAAACGCAACTATTAAGAAAGTAGGGATTAACAAGTAGAACTGTAAATCAATATTACACTGTCTGCTTGTCACTTATTCCCTCAGTTATGTATTTATTAAGCTCTTCTACGAGCGTTGGGAAAACAGATATATGATAACATAAACCATTCACAGAAGAAGTACACACTATTATTTCTCATAATAATAGACTTTTTAAACCAATATTTAACAAGTGAGATGAAATAAAGAGTCAAAAACAGAAGTTATACTGCAGCTCCAAACGACAATGATGCAATGTGTGAATATTTTTAAGGAGGATATTAGTGTATCCCTTAAAAGACACTACTTACTAAAGATGAGAGTTTTACGTTACAAGAATGAACTTTTAGCGATCATTTTAAACATTTCAAGATTGTAATTTTCCTATTTAGGGATAACTCTGTTAGAATTTTCAAGAGGAATTTCGTTACCCAATATCTACTTGAACGATCAAAACTGGCATTGGGATAATTACTTATCTCTTATGACACATGGTGTTATGATGGACAGTGTCCGAAATCCGATACTGATACACGGCATGCTATGGCCAACCCCCAACTGACTAATTAAACTAGAACACAAGAGTGAGCGATAAAGTGTATTGGACTAACAAATGAAATGCACAAATACTCATTCATATATATACTACCCTATCCTTAGGAAATTGACCCATTTTTATCCCAATGAAATGCACTTGAACTTTGGGCCATTTCTGATCGCCGTTGATGAGCACTGATTAGGCTACTCTCCATATCACATGATGATCATATACATGATACAGCTCAAATAAAGATTAGCATTTAGTTAGACATTTAAATCATTTCATTAAATACATTCGGTAACATAATCGATCACTAGTAAATTGCTGGAGACTACGACTTACTTTAGTCTTATTTATATTAGTATAAATACACTGATGGACTAACTAAAGCTTACTGGTAAATATGTACACAAAAAAAAACAAATTATCTTTAAGTTTTATACAACTAAAAATAATAGTTTAGCTTTATCCTACCCAATTCACGCATTACACGAAGACCTTCCTGGTAGTTGGGACCAGCACGACGGACAAATATACGTATATTATGTCTCTTCAATTGTTCTTTGAATTCTGTCAAAGCACGCACAATACCTTTAAATGTAGCAGCAATATTGGTGAAATTTGCAATTCCTCCACCGATTAGTAGAACTTTACCTGGAACAGGTTGAGATTTTTAAAAGAATTTCGTAAATAAAACAGAAAAAACATCCTTGAAGTAAGTTCTAATGATGCTGTCCCTAGAACTAATACGTAGTCAATGTTAAGATTTGTGAAAACATGATGTGAAAAACACAATAGAAACTTAAGGATTTAACTGAATCATGATGAAGAGAGTTTACTATCTGTACAGACCAGTTAGTCAATTAGTTAAAATCAACTCAAGGCTTCACACAAATATGTACTACCCAAAGATATTACAGCTTTACTGTGACTCATTTACCAAGTAAATGTTTAAGTGTTCACCATTGAATCACACTGTTTGTATGATTGAGTGACATTGTAAAACAAGACAAGAGGCAAAGGGAAAGTGTATTAATTGTGAGGAGTTACCGAGTACTTACGTGGTTTACATATACACAGCTTTCAATAGGCGATTTGCAACTTTCGGTGTCTTCTGTAGTCACGACCGCCTTCTCATCTAGTCTCCACGCGTTATGATAACGCCGTGCTTTCGATGTATTGAAACACTTCGCTCCGTATCACAATCGTTGTAACTTTAACGCAACGTTCCGCTACAAACTACCTACAAACAATCTTGTGAGTGGTGCCCAAAACAACACTAGCCTACTGCTCGAACCGAAATAAGTGGTTTGACGCTCGGAACCATGATACTCGTGACACAGAATATTAAAAGCTTTAGAAAATTTTTCCGTGTAACCAAATGGAGCATTAATAACTGCGTATATTTAAAGTGACGTTGTACGTGATGGTTAACTGGATTATGAAGACCACCACATCTGACGGGAAACACGGAGTACAATGGACAGCCTGGATGCAACTAGACGATTTGGACTTCGCAGATCACCTAGCTCTTCTATCCCATACACAACAACAAATCCAGGTCAATACAGCCAGTGTGGCGGAAGCCTCTGCGTCAGTAGACCTCAACATACACAAAGGAAAAACCAACATCCTCAAATACAACACAGACAACACTAACCCAATCACACTCCATCGAGAAACTGTGAAAGTGGTGGAAAATTCTACCTACCTGGTCAGAATCAACGATCAACAACAAAAATCTTATACAAACGTAAAGGCAAGGATTGACAAAATAAGAAAACAACTCCCATAATTAAAAAACATACGGGACTCAAAACAACTGTCGAACAACATCAAAGTCACATTCTTCAATATCAACGTCAACACAGCTTGTTCCGTTATACGGAGCTAAGACTTACAGAATTATCACAACCATCATCAAAATAGTACAATTATTTGCGAACAATTGTCTACACAAGATACTCAATGTCCATTGACTGCATATCATCAGCAACAATCTACTGTGGGAGAGAACAAACCAGCTCCCAACTGAAGAGCAAATCAGAAAAAGAAGTTAAAGGTGGACAGAACACGCATTGCAGAAATCATCAAGCTGCATCAAGAGACAAGCGCTAACTTGGAATCCTGAAGGGGAACGGAAAACAGGAGGACCAAAGAGCACATTGCATCGAGAATTGGAAGCAGACACCGTAAGAATGAATAGCAACTGGAAACAACTGGGAAGGATTGTCTAGGACAGAGTTGGATGGAGAATGCTGGTGGGTGGCCTATGCTCCTGTACGAGGGGTAACAGGCGTGAGTGTGTAAGGTAACTTAGAAGGTAAAACAATCAACATTCAACCCAGCAGATCATTGGTTCTAATCCTATACTACTAACTTCTGTCTTAGGCAGTCGGGTATTATACAAAGCCGAATGAACGAATTTTCCTCTAATTACATTTCAAATTAAAAGCAAAATTCAACAGAGTAAAAAACTATTGAAAATGTAAATCTTACCATCTGGATGTAGTTCTCCAGTAGTCATCAAAGTTAGAATTGTTTTTGAATATTCATAAGTTAATTCTTCTGATGGTGCTCCAGAATATTCACCATAATTCGCTAAATCTTTTACACCTTGACTTGTACCGCCAGCTGCTTTGACTTTTTCAGCTAATTCACAAACTGTATCAGCATAAATTACTGAAGCTCCACCACCTGCACTCATTGTCCATATACGACCATTTGGATTAAGTATAGTAAGCTTTAATGAAGCACCTGTTCGAGCATCCAACTTTGCGATGTACGCTTCCTAAATTAAAAAATATCTGAAAATATAACTTTATTTTGATTGAAAGTATATGATCATTTATTAAGTACAGATTCATATAGGTGGGCTTGAGTCATAATTAAATATGACAGCTGATATGATAATACTCGATTGTTCTGACCGAAGTAGATGGAGTGAGGTTCGAACACGAACTATAATAGATGAAAGCGGAACCTCTAGACTATTAGGTCACCGTTACAAGTTATATACGTTGGAGAAAGCAATTTAAGCGAATACGTATTTTCGATATTTTCTCATCGCCCTTTAAAATTTACAAATAAATATATTTGGATTCATCTGGCTGGACGCAGTTAACAAAGAAACCCTGTGGATTTAGATTTCATGAAGGTTATTTCCCTGAGGACTGAAAACACGCTTTCCCGACGAGTACTAACTGGCATGGAAACAAGGATTGCTTTTGACTACTTTTAACCAACACTAAAAAATAGCCCAGGAGATGTCAAGTAACTTATATTAATGACAACATTGCAACTTGATTGGTAGAATTAGAGCAACACAAGGGACTCAGTAAGTTAGTCGGTCAGTCAAAACGTAGAACCTGGTATTTATGTATATCAGTTCAAGTTGCTATATCTCATTAGTGCAAAGAGACGGAATTGCCAGACCAAATCCCTGAATAGTAGAGGTAGTAACAGTATCAGTAGTAATAAAAAAGATTAGATATTAAAGATACAACTCAACAAGAAAATATAAATTAGTGAAATGAAAGCATTTATGAAAAATTAGGAATCTCAGAATTTGAGGGGGAGACAAAAAAACCTATGCATCTGCGTTATTGCAAACGATTTTGAGCCACGTCATTCAAATACGCCAAGCATTGGTTACGACCACCATACAGATACCAACCAGGTAGTTTACACCTGTCATCATGGCTCAATCCAATTGTCAATGACTTCATGGACTGATGCCACTTGTTTTGGCTACCCCTAGCTTCCTTCTAACCTACTTCTACATCGAACAACATCGTCTCTTGAAGTACTCGATGGTTGAGTACACGTCAGACACGTGCCAACTACCTCAAGTGATGTAGATTCATTACCTGATCAATCGATTTTTCGTATATACATAGTGCTTTGTGTCTTACCCCAATTTTGTCCTACAGTACACGAGCGATACTTGAAGGACACCTAAAATCTAATACTGATAATCTACGAATAATCTGTCATCATAGTGGTCATTCACACAGCTATAGATGATGATGGATCGAACAGGTTCTCTGAGTAGACAGATATCTTGCTTACACTATAAATGACGCATTGTGAATTGGTGCCGAGATTTCACGAGAGATCAGACCATCGGGACTGATGAGACTACCAGTAAGAGTGAACAGGTAAACACACTGAGCTACTAACTTGACTCTATATGATGAATTCGAGAGTTGACTGGGTCCGGTAGTGAAGCAACATTTAGCATTTGGAAGGAGATAATCCTATTTCAACATGTCTGAATCAGGAGACTGCGTTTTGTCAGCGTCTCCACCAAGTAGAACTACGTCAAATGCCCATACTAAGTGAACGAATGAATCTCGTGGTAGAAAATTAACCCCTGAAAAGTTAAACGATGAAACCGTTGTCTCTGGAGGAATCATGTCCATCATGACGAAGTCAAGTAAAAATGTGGAGAGGACAGTCTTGATGAACATCATTTGAAGTACCCACTTTTGATGACGTTTTGCTATAAGTTCTCACTTCACCAGTAGTGTTTGAATAGAGAGTTTGTACAAGGTTGATGTACTTCTTTGGTACATATCTCAATGGTAGACACTGCAATAGAACCTCCCGACCAATAGAGTCGAATGCCGACTTAAGTTCAAGGAATACAACCATAGATGGACGTTGAAAAGTATATCTATGTTTCAGAACCTGGTGGAGGGTGAATATTTGGTCTGTACATACATTCACGTCTAGGTCTGAAACCAGCCTGGTTTCTCGGGTCAGCTCTTCACGAGCTCTAGTTAGAATTCGAAGTATGTTTGAGGCTAATATTTAAGATACTTTGTTTGTTAGACTGATCCTTACTTATAAACTGGGAGACCAGTCAGATGGGATTACCTTCAGTCCCCAGATATTAGTTAAAACTTCAGTTAGTTTAACTGACAAAAATGGACTACTAATCCATCAGATCCTGTTGCTCCCCTCACTTGAGATTGCTTATGGCCGCTTCAACCTTATTGAGAGTTTGCTATTTAGGTTGCATGGAAATGGCAAATAACAGAGGTGTGGTTGAAGGTTAGTTGAACTGTTCCCTAGAGCGTTCTACCCAGCTGTCCGATCTGTTTGATAGAGTGAATTATGGTCCAGTTTTTTATGCGGGATAGACTAACCAAGAGCTTGATTTTTGATAAATCTGAACAGTTGTCTACTGCTACCTACCGCTACTGTCATTTCTATCTCTTCTGCTTTCGCTACCCACCACTGCTCATAATCATTGGGTAGGCTTCTTATCAGCTCACTTTTAAGCTGCCTTAGCTCTTCATCGTGTTCAGAGTCAAACGGGATGAGTTTCCGAGCATCTATCAGTTCTGGAAACACCTCTGAGATCCATTGATCTTTCTTAACCTTATGGTTTAAGTTAATAGTAGAGATCACTGTTGTTCCCACAGGTTTTTGGATATAGTGACCAGCTACCTTGGGGTGGATATCACTTTCACGGTTGAATAACTCCCCTAGTTGTCCCTGAAATATATTCCTAACCTTTTCATCATTAAGTTGAACTTTAAGGAATTCCCTTGTAGTGACTTTTCTACGTCCAATAAGATGCAGATAAATACGTGCTCGAACTAAAGCATGACCCGAGTCCACATATGTGTTCCAGAATATGCGACAGTCTTCTATCGGGCCTCTCCAAAGATCGCTAATGGCAATATGGTTTAAGGATTAAACAAACACAACATTGGTTATTACTCAGCGATCAATCAATATAAACATTTCTCTTTGTAATTGTAAAACGTGATGATACATAACCGAAAACGCTCGTTTGTTTAAAATGTTTACCGATTGATCATTATGAGAATATTCGAGTTATTATGAATTCATAAACATAGTTATTCGGCTAATACAGAAAGCTGTGCTTAAAAGTTGACAGCATAGTTCAAAGTATAGAGCTAGAGGAGGAGAGATTTTGGAAGACATTAATTATCAAAATAATCAGAGAAAGTAATTTGATAAAAGTATGTAATTCCAAGTGAAGAAAATGGAATCTTTCATAATGACAAATAAAAATAAAGATATTTTCAGTATAGGGTTATAGAGATTGTTGTCTATTTGAAACCATGAACCGAATTAAGTTAGACAACCGGTGAAAACATGGAATCACTGGACAGCCATTGCGTCTTAACAAGCATCCACCAACCCGCACGCAGGGATCGAATCCAACAGCGTCGGTATCGCTCACGAACGCTTAACCTCTAGGCTACTGAGCAGCCATCCAACAAAGTTAATATCTAGCCTCAGTCGATCCACGATATTGAGCAACCACCTTCCATTGTCTTCGATGGGTAGCTGCCTCAAAACCAACACGGATTAGCGCATGTCGTGGGTTGATTGAGGTTAGACATTGAAACCGTTAAATGCCGATCCAGTTCGAGCGAGAGACCGAGGGCCCTGAGTTCGATTCTCACTGGCGGGATCGTGAATACGCGCTGCTGAGAAGTCCCATACTACGACAAGACGGCCATCTAGTTATTTCAAGTCTTTAGTTGTTGTATAACTTAGCTCGGTTCATGATTTCGACGCATCAATTACGAGTAATATATAGTAGAAAATTAAAGCCATGTTAAAAAGAGATTTAATGAACCACTTTCTCTATACATAACTCTCATTTGAAATTTTGGACGATTAAAGCCTATGAAATGTGAAGGGTAATGTAGACTTTTCGGCAAGATTGGTTGAATAAACGAACAGTGTAGGCTCGAACAATCTCCATAACAACGTCTCTAGAAATCAGCTAAGTCGACTGCAATGTTATTCTGAACTTGTAAAACTGACCAGTATCACTCCAGAATCATTTAAAACAAGAACGATGGAATACTGTGTCAAAGAATAGTTCTTACATATCAGACTTCCATAGTTGGAAATTAGTTGTAATAACATAAATACCCTACTACAAAGAATCTATTTGTTCTTCAGAACATCCAAATTATTTCTTTTTGTAAACAGTTAAGAAAAAAGTATGGAATAAATAGGATCGGTGCAACATTCTATGGTGTTTTGCCTCTATATATACCTGCATATAGCGGTGCTTTTATGGTTAAAGAAACTAGATATTTGACCAAAATCCACCAATTCAAACCCAATCTCAGTTTAAACAGTCGGATAGAACAACTAAATCTGACATAAAATGTAAAGCTGATTACATGGTAAATGAATTATATTATACATTTATTAGCAACACCAGTAGTACAAAGTGTAAAAAAGGTGGTGATATGGATTTGTTTGAAAATCAATCAGTCAGTAAGTAAGTCAATCATAATCAACAAACAGAATCTGGCACAAATTTGCGTCAGTTTAAGTTGACATATTATATACGCACGGAAGTAATATTAGTAATAATAATTATTATTATTATGATAATTACCTCTTTAGTTTCAGTTTTACCAAAACCAAAAGGAAATTTCAACATTTCTCCATTCACTGACCATTCCAAACTTGAAGTGAACAAATGTTCTGCACACTGATCCAATTTGGCAGCAACATCCAATATATGAATATATAACTGTTCGTTGATATCATTATCTCCATCCTGTAGTTCATTATCGTTAATGATATGATAACGGCTACCATTACAATCATTAGGTTTGTTCGTATTCATATTCCATTTACAAATAACTAATGGATTGATTTCTAAATAGGTGAAGTATAATTTGTCAAAAACTGAATGCAATTCAACGATGAAATCAGCTAGCATCCTAATAATAAATATGTTTGTTGTTCAATTAGAATATATATAAGCATATATGAATTTTAATAAAACATTAAATGGTTACAAGAAAGGGACTCCTATTAACTTGACATAACGGTTGGGCTTGACTGTCGTGATGACCCAGTCAAACTATATATTAGCTGTAACATTTGGTACTTAAAGTTTTACCACGCCAGTTAGATTGGTTAGAAAGAAGGCTAGATTACAAGCAACAAATTTAAGAACCAAGGGAGAAGTTTTACTGCCGATTATACTGAGATATGACAACAGTAATATGTTTCCTTCAAGAAACTTGAATCTGCAGAGATGCCTGCTTTTCACAGAGGACGGATAGTTGGAAAATGCAAGTTTTAAGAAACGTCTTGCCCTGCTCATTTATGTTGCTAACAGTAAGGCTATAAAAGTGAGGAACTAAATCAAAGGTTATTCACAAAACGCTTATATTTGATTGGACTTAAATAGTTGTCTTCTCGGTTCCGTGACCAGAATCGCAGGTTATTACCCAGTTCCCTTCCTGAGTCCCTTAATAAGAGGTATTTTCCCATATTGTGAGAGGCCGTGAATCAGTAACTCCCCTCGTACCTCTACCAGAATCCGAGCTAACCTTATATTTAAATTCTCTTTCTATATTTCTTCAATAGAACAATATTGTTTGCTGACATTAGTTTAATTTATAGATATTTTTCGCAACGTACTGATCTCATTTGAGATAAAACTAAAAGTCCAGGGATAACTGATGTCAATATTCATATTGAGATTCGAACCCCATGTCTAGCGATTCGAACGTCAACGAGTTATCCAAACTGTTTAACAGGTTTGAAAGTCTAAGGGTTTGTAATTTATAGCTGTCAATATTCAGGAGTGTAATTGATCACTCTCAGTTGCCATATGCCCATTCTAAGAGGACTGACTTGAAATAATCTTTATGCTTGGTTTGGAAGAATATTAACTTCGGTCTGGTATACATTTGTCTCAGGTTTCAATGAGCCTAAAGATAGTGTTTTGCTTTAGAAAATAAATATTCACCAAATTTTAGGGAAAAATTGTTCATTGAAAATAAATAATCGAGTCGTCATATTTAACAAGGTATCGCCAACAAACCTTGCACGCTTCGGACATTTTACTCCTGAAAGCAGTGAACTCTGTAATAATTGATCGGCGGAACAACCAGCTTTCATTCCAGAACCAGATTTCATAATATCTTCAACTGAAACCTCAAAACGTTTAGCCTATAAAAGCAAGATATAGACGATTACTCAGAAAATATGTGAGCACAAATATGTGTTCGACAAAATTATTTTCAAATGCCTGGATTTGTGAATATTTATCTGCCAGTGCAGCAGAAACCCATGCATCAGTAGACCTCAACATACACAAAGGAAAAACCAACATCCTCAAATACAACACAGACAACACTAACCCAATCACACTCCATCGAGAAACTGTGAAAGTGGTGGAAAATTCTACCTACCTGGTCAGAATCAACGATCAACAACAAAAATCTTATACAAACGTAAAGGCAAGGATTGACAAAATAAGAAAACAACTCCCATAATTAAAAAACATACGGGACTCAAAACAACTGTCGAACAACATCAAAGTCACATTCTTCAATATCAACGTCAACACAGCTTGTTCCGTTATACGGAGCTAAGACTTACAGAATTATCACAACCATCATCAAAATAGTACAATTATTTGCGAACAATTGTCTACACAAGATACTCAATGTCCATTGACTGCATATCATCAGCAACAATCTACTGTGGGAGAGAACAAACCAGCTCCCAACTGAAGAGCAAATCAGAAAAAGAAGTTAAAGGTGGACAGAACACGCATTGCAGAAATCATCAAACCACATCGAGACAAGCGCTAACTTGGAATCCTGAAGGGGAACGGAAAACAGGAGGACCAAAGAGCACATTGCATCGAGAATTGGAAGCAGACACCGTAAGAATGAATAGCAACTGGGAAGGATTGTCTAGGACAGAGTTGGATGGAGAATGCTGGTGGGTGATCTATGCTCCTCCACGAGGGGTAACAGGAGTAAGTTTAAAAAACTAATCACTAACATTATCTGGTGAAGTACAGAAAGTCACGCTCAGTAAAAGAAATTTTGTTTCAGATTAGCGCTCCTAAACACTACTAACTAACAATTGGGCTCGAACTTAGATTAAGAAATCTCGGTTTCATAGCTAGTCCAATATTGTTTAACGAAGTTGGGTGGCTTCCCAATAATGCTGAGTGACACTTGCACTTAATCGCAGAATGACGGAAGTTAGAAATGGCAAATGTTTTCGAGCTAAGTAGTTAAGAACTAATGTGTTAACAATGCCAAAAATAATCCGAGCATTTGACTTGGTAGAGGACTGGTTTTGTTGCACTCTTGAGAAGACCCAGGCGACGGCGAAACTGTAAGTGATTTTTCCTGGTATCAGTCCGAGATAAGAAGAATTTATCTTCAAAATAAGCCTAGATAGAATATGTAGTATTCTGAAAATTAGTTGATCAAATAACAGTCATTTCTTGTATAAAACAGTCTAAATCTTTTTTTTTCAAATTTATTTCGAACGTTGTTGATGTATTAATATATGCATTTAACTTTTTTAAATGCTTCAATCTAAGCCCAAACTAAAAAAAAGTACGAATTCAATGTTTCAACACTAACCTCTTCTTCCCGTTTGTCCTAATTCTAACTATTTTTTGTCTCTTTAGACAGGTTATTTTTAGACTGTACTGCTAGATGGAACGCTTGAACGACGGCGTGCAGAAGTATAGCATCAATTCATCAATTCATAACAGTCCTTTCGCTGTAACAGTCAGTGACTCAGTATTATCTAGGATAAAAGTATATTATACTGGAACACATATTTTTGTCAGATCTACATTGTAAAAAAATTGGTACAATGATTCAACCAAAAATCTGCCAAATCACAACCCCTCTATTAGACTGTTGGCTACAAAACTGTCTAACTATTTAGAACTCAGTTAATTTGAAGACCTGATAAGCAGCAATGTTCTGTACGAAAATTCTTCGAATTGAAATGTCTTGGAAGAAAGCTAGGGGCGGCCAAACCAAAACATGGCACAAGTCCATGAAGTCACTGACAAGTGAACTGAGTCATGTTGGTAGGTGTAGACTACCTGGTTGGGGACCGCGAGATGATAGCAACCGATGGTTAGAGACCCTGAATGACATGGCTCAAAATCGTTTGCAATGGCTCAGGTGCATCCACTCTCTGTGTTCTCCCAAATTCTAATCTTCTGAATTCTTCATGTCCCTTTTCTTTTCCTCTTTCCAAATTTATTTCACTGGATTATACTCTTTAAATAACATCTCCAAACCCTAATCTTCCCGATTACTGCTTATACTCTTATTACCTCTACCACTACGGGATTTGAATCGACAACTGCATCTCTGTGCTAATGTGGTGTGGCAACTCGAACTGATGTACGTACGTACGAAGTTCTACCTTGTTACTGACTGACTGACTGAAATGTCTTGTTAAAACAACTCCATTATTCAATTGCAAAATATCAGTGAGTTAGGAGCAAAAATCAGAACACAATAATATGAGTCCATTTGCTCCGTTGATTCTTTAATGGTGTTTACAAATGAGAAGTAATAGTAGTAATTCGGAAAAAACGAGTGTACAAACTTTGTACGCAGTACGCACCTCCGACTACATCCTATAGAAAGGAAGACTAAGAGAATATCTCCCAACGGTATGATCCCACATCATTTCCTCCACAGTGAATAAACAGTTGATATCTCGAAAAATTCAATGTATAAATAAATCCACATTTAGTGAGTTTCTAGAGATATTTCCATCAAATGATTTAAACCCAGTTTGTCTATTAAAAAGGATGATATTCCCAACGTTGCACTGTTGTAGCGGGTAACATGGTACTCCATGCTTTTAGTTACAAATACCCTTACTTTATTCTTGATTCTTATCCGAGCTCCGTTCATTTTACGCTTCTAACCAACAGTCATTGTAGTTGAGCATTAATTTTAAATTTCTACAAGCGTCTTCATTAGCTGTTCTGTTTTCTCTTATTGAATATTCATAAAAGTAACCTACGGAAAATCAACCGTATAGACTATTCTTGAAATTTGTCCTCCATTTCTTGCATTTTACTGGTCCCTCATATTGGTCAAGTTTTCTTTTTAGAAATGTGATGTAAAGTATACACAATAATTTCTAATGCTTAATGCCCTAGTTCCTACGTTGTAAGCAGTTGGAGAGAATCCGTAAAGTAATTAAACTTATACATTTGGACACATTTGTTCTAGATTTATTAGAAGTAACAGGGAAGAAAGGCTATATAGAAGAAAAACTGTGGAAGACAACATTTTTGCACAAGATAACTAAAATATTGTACATACCTTAGAATCTACTTCACCCACATCTACTCCACCGGCATGATGAAAAAGGATAACATTTGAATTCCTTTGAGTGTACATACACAGATAGTACTCTTCTTGCTTTAAAAACAACAAAAATTTGTCTTTATCAAATTCCATTTAAAGCGACAGAGAAAATAAACAATAAAGGTTGTATAAATTTGATGAGCTGAATTGCAAAATTACTATTGTTATAAATAGAACTCATACACTAAGAATGTTAGCCAGCTTTCACGAAAATCTATAGTAATCATTCAACACTTATAATGAAAAATTAAAATTAGTCAATATATGCCCTGTATATTGACCCGGATATCTAGATTATACAACTTCATGTGGTAAAATTTGTTCGAATTACCTGTTCATGTGGTACAAATGGTTCAATAAGGAAGCGATCGAGAATTCCACTGGTAGAACCGATCTAAAGTAAAATGTAAAACAATCTTAAATTTTAAAAAACTGAAACTAAAGATGTACAGGTAGTGATGGTCTACAAGCTAAATATTTGCTCGAACTCTTACTGACTCGATAATGCAATCAAAGATCCTTAGGAGCGAAGCAAAACTTCGTGCTAACAATCCATCCTACTAGTTTCTAAAGGGAAAATAATCTCTGGTCGGTTGTAATGTAGGCTAAATGCCTGACTAAAAATATTGTAAAACTGAAAATGAGTGATCATAGCAGAATCGTTCATGTTACTTTTGATGCAATATTGTTTCAAGATAACGTTAAATTTATACAAATGAATATCGGTACAACTGTACACCAAAATGCATATGCGCCATAGAAATAAAATGAAGTTGTGAAAATACAGAGAAAGGATTACAATCAAAACTAGACAAATGAGTAAAAATAAACGAACGAGAGTAGTATATAACTGAAGAAGCAGATAAGGTGAAGGAGCCAGTGAATTCTTCTAGGTACGTCAAACATTTTAGGAAAAATGTACAAATTCACAACAGGATCTTCACTAGCTCCTATTCCAAACTGTTTGATAACATCTCAGGCCAAAGACGCACCATCTCTAGGACCCCAGCTAAAGAATCGTGATGGGCCAACAGATGTCGTGTCCGTACATTTTTTCTACATACCAAAGCCGCGTGCCATAATTCCCTTAGTCGAGTTGGAAAACATCGATTTTAAATGAATAAAGTAAAAGAGCTTCAAAACCCTGAGAACGGATGTAGTATTAACCCATCATCTTTGATTACCGACCACCATGGGAGTGCGTCACATAACGTTACCCCATTACCTTGGGGATTAGACATTACACCTACGGCCATTTTTCAAAGGAACTACTCATAAGGCAGTAGTCTAACAAGTTATAAATAAAACGGCAATGGTGATATAAATTGTACTGGTACAAGGTAAGGAAAAACAGACCTAACAAATTCAAACACTTTATAAAAGGAATGTCTTTAATATCTGGAACGGCTTGATTTCGAAACTTATTATAAAACAGATAACAATAACGCCAACGAAAAATGAACCGAAAATAACAATGTGTACTGTTGCTCAGAACCTTTGAGAATCCGAACAAAACGAGGCTTTTGGAAATCTCATGCACTATGGAAAACACAGTTTTGTCAATAATACCAAATTTTAAAGCAACGAAACCCGAAATACTGACGACAGTAATTTTTCAAACAGGAAGATGAGCCACATTCGGTTAGGCCGTACTTTACACGTTTTTCAGCCAGTCCTACCAGTTACACTAGTAAATATTTAACTAAAATTCAAAAGAACGTCCTGTGAGCAGAATGAAGGCCAAATATCAACTAGATTTCAACATCGCCCCAAACTAAACCTCACTAAAATGAAGAAACTAGAAACAACAAAGCATAAAGTAATAACCTCTAGAGTACTTTTAATAACGTTCCATTCCCATAAAAAAGATTTTTTTCTTAATGTGAAGTAACAACTGAATGTAATTACCGTGAATTTGCTCGCCAACAAACTTTTTATTTTCCCCTGTAAATCCGCCCAATGGAAGCCTGCAAAAACTAGTCCCAATTTTCCCCTGCGTTTTATGAGGACATCGGGCTTACTGACAAGATCCTACATAATATGTTAGCAAATATTAAAAACCTTCCATACATTAAGTAATATCCATTCATCTGTCACTAGACTAACATCATCACCCACTTTAACTACTCTAAGTGGATTTTTCGCTAACTTAGAGTAGCATATCGAGTTGTATATAAGCAGCTTAGCAGATTCTTCGTAAACAGCCTTCGAAGACATTTGTTTTAAAGTACCAAGCTGAAATTGTACATTCTTTTGCTTCCGTAAAACAAAACACAAAATCACGATTTGTAGCTCTAGTGTCCGCTTGATGGACTGAATTTGTTTTTAACGAGCAAACTATCTTCTTTTTAGTTTATTGGAAGCTATCTGGAAGATTACTGGATGAGCGTAGTGAAAATTCTCGTTCGATTACCACGGTTAATGTAAAGCTAAATTAAAACTAGTAATACGTTGGAGACATCTAGGTTTTGTGTCAGGCATATACGCCTTAGATATCTCGTGGTTATTCTACAACTTTTCATAAAATTCGAATCAACCCTATGAATTAACGTGTAGAGCCAGTAAAATGTCGCTGAATCTAGCCAAATCATTCAGCAGTCGGGCCACCGAATGCCGAACGGTTTACCGATCTCTTTCACAGTCAAAAACAATCAACGCACACCAATGAGTTCCATGCCATGGACTGGCTCATTCAGTGGTGGTCGTACTCGATTCCTTGTACCTACTGTTACAAATATATTTTTGTAATAACGTCATGTCGTACGACAATCAACGTAGCCGTAGAAACTGGATACGACAAATGAGTGATCCATGCTAGGTACTGACCATGAAGTGTGACCTCGACGTTATCTGGTCGGTCACACCCTTACCGTCTAACTCCAGTAGGGCCTTAATCATTCGATACGGACCATCTATGTTGGTGATCTACAAAAGTCATGAAGGTTATTCTGGTAAATGACTTCATTTCTTCTTAAAACATAACGTCGAAGGTAGTTTTTAGAGGTAAGAGTGAGAAGTCATTCAAACTATGTCACTTTTCATGGACCTTAGTTGCATTAAATAACATTTTCTGGTAGGGAATTCCAATATTCACCATTCGACTTCTGTAACAAAAACCTGCATGTAGATGATGTGGTTTGGGTCACGGGACTTTCGGCGAATCCCCCACCAAATGATCAATGGTAAACGAAAAAGATGTACCCGAAATCGTCACTTAATGTACGATAGGGGAGTAGCAAATTACCTCGTAATATGAGGTAAAATAGCAGGAATAGGCTGAAGAGTCTTAGTCTGTTTTCATAAGGCAGATCAGTGAGACGCTTCACCGTATCGGTACCTTACCAATGATTTTGTTTATGCATATCCGCCTTATATTTGAAATATGGACTCCGACTAAACCCATAATGCAAAAGTACATCAAAAAAAGTTGTGTATATCACCATAAACATCACTTCATAAGAGTGACTAAATGGCTTGTGGAAAGCCTGAAATACATAATGCCTGTGAGGAAGATCCACCAATAATTTCATTATTTTAATTAACAAGGTAAAGTTTGTCGATCAACCAAGTGAGTGAAAAAGCAAAACACTATCCAATCCTGGCGAGGGAGTCGAGGTGTTGAACCACTGATCTTGTTTGGTCGTGCCAAAATTCAGTTTTCTCGTGCCAATGCTCCCATATCACTCTCGTTCGTCGTTGTATTGTATCTGAAGTTTTGTAGTTTGTGGTTGGATTCCAGAATCAGTGAGGATATCCAAAGACATTATGGAAGATATTAAGCATTATTATTGTTTATACGAATATTCGTCAAGATTAGAACGAATAGTTTGATAGTAGTTGAGCACCGAGTATAGAGAAGTCATGATACGTAAAAATTATATTTGAAATATTCTCAGCAATTGAAATTTAACTAATTCCAACGTTTCGTCCGGCTAACTTATCTGGACTTCTTCAGGGTAATAATCAAAATCATCAAAGAAATATATAGCTTTTTAACAATCAGAATTATATGGTGTTAAACCAATCATATTTGGATGTTAATTTTTTGTAAAATAGGATAAAACGAGTCAGTTAAATACAATTCATGTGTAGAATTCAACTACATGGAAATACTTAACTGAGTAACAAATCGTATGTGTGTGAGTGTTTAGGTATGTGTGTATATGTGAGAGACTGATATGAAGGAATAAATAAAGTTCAAGTTGAAGATGAAAAATTGATAATGAATCATCGATGTACATGTCAAAACATAAATTGTATTGTTTAAAAACTCACTGAATTCAGTCACAAATAATAACGATGCATATGATATAAAAAACAGGTTTAAACAAGAGAAAGGTTCCAAATTTACTTGTCGAACGAAATTTGCCAGGTAGTTGCCAGTTGAATACCATCTTTTCGGTTCGGGCTGTTCTTGTTCGCCCATATATGCAGCGCTTCTGCTGTCAATCTTTCTTTATGGGTGTTAAAACCTTTCTGGAGTATTTTGGTCCCTTCAAAAATAATCTTGTGTCCTATTTCTAACGCATGTAACGCTATCGCTGACTTATTTTCAATCTTTAAATCAACCGAGGGTTTTGGAACATTTTTCAAGCATTGTTTGTGTTCCTTCAATCTTACATTCAATTGCCTGGATGTTTCTCCAACATAGGTGGCATTACAGTCATGACAGTGAATCTGATACACAAAGTTCTGTTGTTCTTCCTTTGCTAACTTGTCCTTAACTTTCACTAATGTCAATCTTAATGTGCTATTCGCTCTAAAATACACTCTTATATCATGTCTGTTTAGAATCCGTTTGATTTCTTCTGATGTTTCACGACAGTAAAGTATGACTACGGTGTACTTCCATCCTTTTCGTATACTTTCTAGTTTAGTTTTTCTTTCATTTTTAATAGTCTTTAAAAACCTTTTTGGGTGGTTGTTATCCCTAAGAGTAGAAAATACTTTATTTAATTCGGTTCGTTGGTCTTCCTTGTCTGTAACGATCTTAGTACTTCTGTTCATTAGATTATTTACCATATTAATTTTCATGCTCTGTGAATGGGCTGAATTAAAATCCAGGTATCTCTCGGAATGTGTTGATTTTCTGTAAACATTTATTTTTAACTTCTTATTATTGTGTCGGCGTTCAACCAAACAATCTAGAAATGCTAGTTTGTGGTCAATTGATTCTAATTCCTTAGTTAGTTTAATGTTTTCAGAAATGCTGTTTACATTGTAAAATAGTTCTTCCAGACCATACCGTTTATTGATAGTAAAAATATCGTCTACATACCTTAATCATAACTTTGGTGGACATACACATTTTGAGATTGCACTAGCTTATAGGGAATGCATGAATAAATTCGCTGCAATCGGAGAAACTGCTGAGCCCATTGCTATACCCTCTTTCTGTCCGTAAAGTTGACCTCGAAATATGAATAAGGTAGATCTTAAACATAATTCTAAGCATTTTGTAACCGCCGATGTATCTAATGGGCATCGTAAATTCAAACCTAAGTCAGATTCTAAACAATCATTGATAATATCCATAGCTCGACTGATAGGTACATTAGTGAATAAGGAAGATACATCAAAACTTGCCACCATTTCTTCTTCTTTTATATCGATAGTATCAGTTAAATTCTTGAATTCCATAGTTTTTAATTCCATGATTAATCCGTTTTTCATATGGTTTGAGAGTCTTAGCTAAATATTTAGCTAGATTGTAAGTCGATGAATTTGTATAGTCTACCACTGGTCTTAGTGGAGAATTATTTTTGTGGATCCTTGTTAGTTCATAAAATCTGCATGGGTTACAACTCTTTGGATATAACATAAACCATAAGGACGATCTTAGCTTAGCTTTTAATGACTGTAAGAGTTTGCTAGTTTCTGCCTTGAGTTTATTAAGAGTTTTTTTGCCTTTTGCTTCTTTGATTTGCTCTTATGGACCCTCTTGTAGATGTTCCTTGGCTTTCTTTTCATACTCTTTTATTCATAATAACTGTAGTATTGCCTTCATCTGCTCTCTTTATTATGATCGTTTTGTCATCTCTCAGATGTTTTAATGCGTACTATTCATTTTTATTTATGTTAGGGTTATGAGGTTTCTGATGTAATAATGCGTTCATTATTTTATTCCTCAGTTCATTCGCTGACACATTTTATCCTATTTTACAAACAATCAACATCCAAATATTATTGGTTTAACACCGTATAATTCTGATTGTTGAAGAGCTATATATTTCTTTGATGATTTTGATTATTACCCTGAAGAAGTCCAGATAAGTTAGCTGGACAAAACGTTGGAATTAGTTAAATTTCAATTGCTGAGAATATTTCAAATATAATTTTCATATATCATTATCGTTGTTTATATAATTTTTATTGACATCATCGCAATATTGTTGTACCAAAGAACGAACTTGTCTCAACTGTCGGACAAACGGATCCCTGTATCACTGTTTGTCCACCAGTACTGGCATGGCATTTGAAAACAGTCAGTTACACTACATTTCCTTCGTTATAAGGACGTGGATATAGTAATCTCATGCGCAGCACACACAGTTTATCGCTTTATAGATACTTATTTAGCCGAAAGCATCGCACACCATGTAACCTATACTTGCGCTACATAAGCTTTATCGATCACAACAACTTATAATCAGTATATTTCAAATAAGTCGTTCTCTGCCTTATGCGTACAACTATCAACCAGTAAATATGACTACGAATAATTGGTTTACTGCACATCGAAGCATTGAGAGTAGAGCATATCTTTTACGGTTATAATCATACTTACCAAATCGCTGTCAGCTGTCTGCCTAGATTTATGTAGGTACTATTATTTTTACGCATGAAATAAATTTTTGATAAGACTTTATATGCACTGGTAGCATTACCGGGTTCTATCACATTTAGGTAACGACGAGGTCGAGTACATCTCCCTTTAACCAAGTAAACCGTAATAAACTTAACGAACTAACTGGAAATCGTGTTTGCATTCTTCCTCTCCGTGATCATATTTGTGTTCCTTCAGTTGGCATACTGGTACAAATGTGATCGTAAATAAATATATACGGACATCTAACCGGCACAAACATTAATTAACTTTCTAATTTCAACCAAAGCTAATACTGATATCAAAATTTCTATAATATTGGTTGTTTTTATTTTTTTAGGCATGAAATACTTGTACTGCCCGTAACTTACGCCTGCTGCCCCTCGCATAGTAGGATA